CGAATAAATGGAGATCAGATAGAAGCATGTCCATGAATTTAAATATTTGGGTGAATTATTAGCGAAGAGGAGATTCCAGGAAAAGATATGCTTTAAAAAATTGATTTTTGAACCTTCATTCGCTTAAGAATTTCTTCGTTTCTAATATGTTCCGTTTTAGATACTCCATAACTTCTTCTCAAAAAATCCATTTGTAGGCTCATTAATTTCTCTCTTTTTCTTTTCCTTAGTTCCCATGTTTCTGTACCATACAATGTTATACTTTGTATAATAGAGTCGAAAGGTATTTTCTTGGTAGACTGGGATATTTCTTTTTTCTCAGAGCAGCGAGTTTAACTTTCTAATAGCTTGCCGTCCTTGTGTAATTTTTGAAGCAATGTATTTTCTGGAATCTCCGTCTTCGCTAATAATTTCACCCAAATATTTAAATTCATGACATGCTTCTATCTGATCTCCATTTATTGGTATATAATTTATTTTCTTCTCTCCCACTACCATATATTTTGTTTTGAGGAAATTGATCTTAATCCTGCTTTTTGTATGTTTCCGCAAGCTTTCGCATCATATACAGTGAAACTTCACTCTTTCATAAAAGTACTCTTATAGAAGGCATTACACTGTATAAAAAACTCCCTAGCTAATTTAAAATCTTAAACTCGATACACACATTCAAAAATAAACTGAAAGCTTTCCTGTTAAACCACACATTCTACAGTACAAAATAATATATTTCATAAACACGTATCTACTTCAATATAAACTAGTACTAATGATTTTGCATTTTCTGTTGCATGTTTTGAACTCCCCCCTCCCTAAACTGGTTGTTGAATATAAAGGACGGACCCAGCCCAGGCACGAATATCTATGCAGACACCTGATTTTTCCTATCTTTCTTTTCTTTATTATTTTTATTATTATTATTATTTTAATTTTAGACTTCTTACATTACCATCTATAAAATTAATAAGCATTCTATTATATTGTACTTAGTATGAAAACTGAATTGAATTTTAATTTGTCTTGCATTTAATTTTTAGACACACCTGTACTGTGCATTGTATGATTATATACATAACCTGATTTATCATACATGGCGTATGCTATATTTATGTGACAAATATATCATTATTATTATTATTATTATTATTATTATTATTATTAATAATAATATTACGTAATTTTCGTCGATTTCGACTAATAAGTCATTTTTTACCTTTTTACATAATTTTTAAAGCATTTTCCACTGATTTTATCAATTTTAATATAATTATAATGGTAATTGCTTCAAACAATATTTACGATGTGCAACAAATGTTCACCACAGAATTCCCGAGTAGCCTATTCGATTTCTTCGCATGTATGTTTTATTGTCAGCCGTTGTGAGTTCTATGTAACCTAAGGTTCCTGTGACGCCTATCGGCGCCATTGTCAGTTCGGCCGATTTCGCGGGATATATAAAGGCAGAGATTTTCTTTTGAAGAACAGTCTAAACCAAAAGTTTGGAAGTTGAGTTCATTTGAACAAAAGGAAGAAGCTTCGATTACATCTGTAACATATCCAACAGCTTGAGTTATTCATCCGAAGTGGTTTTCATTAAATTTTTAATGTCATTTTTCTTGGTTTTTAGGATATTTTTAAATCATGTTATTGATCATTTTTGGCAATTTTTAGGTCATCAAAATCCGCCCATAGTCGTAACATAAAATTAATGTCTATATTAAAAGGCATTGTTTAAAGTGAAAAGAAAAAAATACGCAAATCCGCTCCCTACTGATGGCCATTAGCATTATTTCGAGTCACAATCCCGTCCACGAAAATTGAATACTAGTTTTAGATCTAGTTTGCTTTTAAGTTCGTTTCAATGGGGACAGAAAGTGAATTTCACGAAGTCAAGAAAGTTTGATACTACCTTAGAAAAAGCATATGAACCTAGAAAACGAGACAAGGTTTAATAAGAAAAATGATGAAATTTTTAAGTGAGGCACGACACAAATATAATTATATTACAAATTTAATAATATTATAAATTTAATAATATTACCAAAAAGGGCACAATTTTGTGGAGTTTAGAAACCTATGCATCTAAAAATAGTTGTAAAGAAACAACTCTGCAAGGCATATTTTGTAAAAAGTCAGTAAAACGCATGTAAGAACATATAATTCAATTGTAGATTTTTATTTAAGTTGTATTTTGTAGTTTAAGGTAAATAAAATATTTCCGAAAACAAAGTTGATTTTACAGCAATTAGCATGATTACGCCTAATATAGGCTACCTGAATTACGCGTCCACTTGAATTAGCTTCCAATTTTTGCCGGGACAATTAGAAACCTTTTAAGACAGGTCTCACTTTATTTTCCAATAATACGAGCAAGTATGTGCACCTCTACTTCTATTTTGTTACATGTCCCCCTGCGTACTTCTTGGTATAGGCAATCCGTCGAACAGGAGAGTATGAGGAATTGCGGAATGTATCATAAAAAACTTTCTATGTAACGCTCAAACAATTGTCCTACCAAACTTTCCATATAGAATTTGCATGCTAATTTTTATATGCTTTTGGGGGCGCTGCCTGTCCAACTTCCCATTAAAAGAAGAAAAAATAATGTTAGACATAAAAAAAAGATATTTCACTGTGCAGACACACAACACAATATTTCTTATTAATCATACTTTTCTAAGAAGGAAAAAACTATGATTATGAAATTATTGAATACTAGTGACCTGCTGTACATGATCTCCCAAAAAGTAGTGTACACACTGCTCAAGAACAAAATACTCTTGTATAATACTACAATACTTTTTCAGAACATGAAGCGTAGTGCTTTACTGCTTACCTTCACTCTTATTATTTTAAAAGTGGTAATTTGCATACGGCAAAATACATTTAGGTCCCTTTTCTTTGGATCTCCCTGCTATTTCGAAAATGACAAAATTGAATTTTTTTCCTCTTTTTTTTCCTCCTCATTTCTTCATAATTTTAATATTGAAGGCAGAGATTGTTTTAAAAATGAATCTGTTCTTCAAAATTCGACCTTTAAATGAGATCGTTTACAATTTATAAAAAAATAGTAGTTTTCACACAATATTTCTTGACATAAAAGTGATTTTTCTGAAAGAACTTCTTTAAATTGTTTTTAAATTTTTCTCAGATAGTGTGAAGTACACTTATTAAAATGAAATGATAGTCCAATTGAACTCTCTGAATTTTCCGGAATTGAGAAAGTTACTAATAATCAAGAAAGCATGCCTATGGTGTTGTAGTCCACCAGTTTCTTTTATTTTTGGCCTGGCTGATGTTACCTGGAAAATGTACCACTGTGAACGTTACATGACCTCAACGAAACATGTTATTGTATTATTGTTCCCCCTCATAGTATAAAGAAATACTCACCTAATAACACAATAACAGATCAGATGTTTTTTTTTGTTTTGTTTTTCTATTACGCTTCAAGCATGTTACAGTTTGATTTCACTCTTTTACATTACAACTTAAAGTACTGAATTGCCAGTGTTTATTAGCGTGTGAAAATATTTGTGAGATATTTGGACATCTGTTGGGTAGTTTTCTCAAGTGGCCAAAGTATTCACATTTCATTGTAATATATTACATTGGGGGGGGGGGATGAAAATAACACTTTTTTTGTAGCATTGACCCACAAAATGTGATCTGTCAAAATCTGTCATGATTTCCTCCATAACTTTCTCTACATGAAGTAAGTCTACAAGACCATAAATTACTTTTTTTTCAACTTTGAAGACTATAAGTATTAAATACAAGATTAATTAAAGAAAGAACATTCTGCAAGGAACTCATTTTTTTCCAATAGAATATAATAGGCCCTGTATTATGAATTCATCCAAAATCAGAATAGCCTGGGCTTAGGCATGGAGTGTGAGGGTGGATGGGGGTCTACACTTACCCCTACAACTTTGTTTTGGTAACTATAGATCACTGCTTAAAAACTAAAAAACTATCATGGAGAACTGTAAACCACAAAACATTTTGAACTACAGATTCTACTTATTGAAAATAATAATAAAATGCAGGCTTGATGGTGGATGAATACTGATAAATTACCACAGCAGTTCTTGGACAGGTTGAACCTAAACCTTCTCAAGTGGTTATACTTCTTAATGAACCTTTGTGGCTGATTTGTGGAAGATGTGTTTAATGACTTGATTGTTTACAATTCAAGTTACACTGAGTGCAGCTCTTACCTGTTCAGAGGTTCAATTTAATGGTACAACTATACACTTACCCCACTTTACCTTACATTTTTTTTCCTTTATGTTTTAATCATAAGATAAAGTAAAAGCAAAGTATAAAGTAGGTGTTCTTTAGTCACAATTTAAGTTATACAGTAAAACTTGCTCAATGCGAAACACGCATAATGCAGAAATCTGTCTCATTTGAACATGAATCGTGTTTCATTTAAACATAAGATCTACTGTATTACATTGTATAAAGCAGAAACTTGTCTAATACAGAGAAAAATACCGGCCCCTTGAGGTTCCATATTGAGAAAGTTTTACTGTAGTACTGTTGTGTTATAAAGTTGTGTCAACTTATATAAATTGTTCAAAAATATTCTTACATATTTTAAAATAATAGCTTTTTTAATACCTTGCACCTCCTATTGCCATCATCAAAATTTCCAGATGAAATGAAATATAAAGATCATCACTCTACTACTCAAGAGCCCTTATTATGTTTTTATCATTTTTGTCATGCTTTTAGAATTGTTATCTTCGTTTTAACTGTGTAATACATATCATACTTCACTCACCAACTAATCTCTTTTGGCCTGTATTTACTTATGACATCAAAACTAAAATTCTTCAATAGGAAGATTCTTCTTTTTTATTTGCATTAGAATATTTCATAAAATCCTACATGTGATCATAGTTGAGTGTGTGTGTGTGTGTGTCTATGTGTGTGTGTGTGTGTGAAACATATGTTACAAAAATAGAGTGGTAACAAATTAATTTTTGTTTCAGGTAGCATATATTGTTGCATTTACTATTGAACTATGGTGGATCTTAGAAGCGGAAGGTAGAAACAAATTGTGGTTTTATATTCATTCTTTTTCAAATAATTTCACCAAAATCATATTTTAAATGATTCGTTTCTTTGTTATTATTTTCTTATAATGTTTTATTATTGCTTGTTCATTTTTTTAAAAATTGTCTGTTTTAATAAGTGTATGAAAATATCCTCTTCGTTAGTATATATCAAATGCAAAGTAACTGATAATGATTTTTGGATATCATTTCAATTTATTTTATATTGAATTTTTTTTTTATTTCATTGAGAATGATAGAAGTACATGTTTTGGGATTCATTCCTTTGAAATTTTCAATGAAGATACTTCCCAATACTTATCCAAAAGTTTTAATAACCCTATAGACCAATTATTATAATCTTAAATTAAATAGAAATTGAAGAAACAAAATCTTGCAAATATAACAACTTTAAAATTTATCTACGAATTTTTTATCTAGTTGTGTCATAAGTAATATACAAAAAGAGATTATCTGTTCCAGTGACTCTTCCAGCACCTGCTTATCTCCTCTGTGCTGGGTATTTCATTACTTTTGTTGTATCAGCATTATTACTCCATGGTATAACAGTGGTATGTTTGAGCTGTCAAGCAAGGATATAATTTTTGTATTGCAATTGCAATTTATCATTAATACAATTTTCTCCTTTTCTAGAAACGAACATTATTCCTTCTTAGTTGGTTATTTACTGTTATCATTTTATCCTTCCCAGAAGCTGGCCTTGTACTTTTCATGAGTTTACACTATTGGGTAAAATTTTTATAATTTTGTTATTAAAATATTTTATTTTGATTATCTGTGTTATTCTTGTTGGATTTTTCAATAATATATATTATTGCTTCGCAGAAAGTTAAATCTCTTTATGGACTTACAGAGCTAATATACTGGTCATGCAGAGTAATATGCAATGTAAGACTGAAAAAATTAAGTTATTATACTTATTAATTAAAACATTGATTTAATTTTACTGAGACAATTTTAATTAGATTGCAGGCCTTATTTGTGTACAGTCCTTATATTCAACGTGGAGAGAAGAAAAGTTAGTATTAAGAAGACTTCAGGATTTGAACATGGTAAGACAATATACCAAACACTAATTTTGAATACCTAATACATTGGTTATGGTTGTCTTATTTGTACACATGAGTTATACAGTGTTGCTTTACAAATTAAATATTATTTATTTCATTTACAATTGATATTTTCAGTCCAATATTAATCGAAACATGCCTAGTAATGGACACTTGAAAAACGGAAGCTCTACACCAGGATATCAGAATGGAGGATTTGTTGCCTCAACAGGACGACTTAATATGTTATCATCTAGTGTTCCCACAATCAGCCGATTGCAAAGGTCAGAATACGGAAAATAAATTCAAAGTGAATATTTCTCTTGTGAATTAAAAATAAATTCTAAGAAATGTACATGTTTTTGGAAAAAAATGTTAAATAGAAATAAGGTCCAGTTGTAATTGGTGCAGACTCTACGCCAACAATTGTTTTTTTGCATATTCTTTCTTTTTCAAACAGATCGGCTTCTTCAGTTTCACATCTTCACCTCCAATCACCATTGCGTTTTGGTGGATCACTTCCAAATAATAATGTGTCAACCCACATGATACCCCTGACTCCTCTCAATAATCTGCAATATGCATTCTTTGGAGCACCGGACAGTGCAACAACTGGTAGCGAATTCAATGCATCAACATTTGATGGCTACTTTGCAGCTTCAGTGAGCTCAAACATTCTGGAGAGTGAAAAAATGTTTCATCCTCAAATGAATTTGCACAGAAATCACTTAAATACATCAATGAACAGAACTCAGTCACTGATGGATCTGAGAGACAATGTGAAATCAGAAAATTTTTGGTTTTCTCCAATTCCTCTCCATCCTTTGTCTGTGGATTACATGCGTTCAAGTACTGAAAATGTTACCCAAAGTTTAGATAGAAGAGTTCTAAGACACTCGGGAAAATTGCGCAAAGCTAGTTCACTTAGTGAACTGAACAATATTGCTAGATCTATCAATGTATCTACACTGCATGACGAAATGAATGAACTTAATATGCAAAGGTTTATTCTACAATCACCTTATGGATACCAATTGTACAGAAGACCTAGACCTATTGTCCAAACTTCTGGAAGTAAACGATCATTAGCAGAATCTGATGATATGCAAAAAATAAGAGATGTAGCCTTATGAATGTCTTATTCATTATATATTTGATGTACCATTACAGCAACAATGACCAAAGCATGAGTGAAGTTAGTCCTACAAATAATAAAATACATTAATATATATTTTTGATTGTATTCAGGAATTAAAACCAAAGTTACCATGAAGCGTTGTTATGAAAAGGGTATGTTACTACTGAAATGTGTGCCAAATATCAGATCAATGATTTTAGAAAGAAATTGATATTTGAGAGAGATATATATATTTTCTTAAATCTAACGTTTAAACCTCTTAACAGTACTGGAGTGAGAAAAGGTGAAGAATGTTTGTATTTTCATATTTATATTAAAAAATATTCTGTTCATGTTATTTGTGGTAACCACTGTTAACCAAAATAAAAATATAAATTATGCAATGTGCAATGTTTTATTACAGAGGAAATCCTCACATAAATTCCAGCATCTCTGTAATTAATTAACAAATTAGAAAAATCTTAATAGATGGAGCTTATCATTATTTTACCTTAATTAATATCTTATCTTAGCATTAAAATGATGGAAAACAGAATTCCAGATTAAGTATTGTTTTGCCGAACTATTAAACTTCCTAAATAGCTTTATATTATACACAATCCATTGCAATATGAATTTTATTTATTACTATTTGTGAGTTACACAGAGGCAACTCCAGAAGGTTCCAGGGGTGAATTGAGGTTCCCAAAACATTAAAAATGACTCAAATTAACCTTAGTGTTCTGTATGCATAAGAAGATGATTGGGGGCACTGTATACTTCCAGCAATGTTAGAAGACAATACAATACTCTCTGGATTAGAATATGAAAATAGTGGCCCTACAACAGTACATATTTTCCTGCATCGTTTTCACTTTTGCAGTTTTTGAAAATTCAGAGAGTTTGCTAGAGACACACAACATACTTTGAAGAATTCTTTCCTCTATTTGCGGGAAAAAAATTAAAGAAAAATATTGAGCCATTTTTGATTTTTTTTATAAAATAGCATTAACTTAGAGCAGAATTGTGCAAAAACTACTCGTTTAAAAAAAATTGTACACAACCCTATTTAAAGACACATACATTTTTAAACAGATTGCATTAAAAATCTGTACTATGAAATGTTAATATTTTGCAACTTTCAAAAATACATACCGAAATGGAACTAGAAGCAATAAATTTATCCCTCTTAATTTTTTTTACTCCAACATAAGAGGGACTTTTTAAATTTTAAATTTGAAGCCATTTTTGAGAAAATCATTTGTTTAAAATTGTCAGTATTTACTATTCATATTTATGAAAAATTGTTAACAACCTATTATCTTTTAGCTTTGACCAACAGATTATATTAAGGAAAAAATCACTATCTTCAATATTGTGGGCACTTGTAGAAAAACTACGAAAAATTTTGAACTTCGGCACTTGTCGAAAATTTCGAGATTTGAACGAAAATGAGACCTGCGCCATTTTTGGGCGTTCTTGATAATCTTTCCGAAGGCAAAATTTAAATTAGACCCATTTTTGAAAGATTTTGAAAATGTTAATGCTTTGTGTAAAGTACTCCCAAAAATCATAATATCCTGAGTGTCTCGAGTTCGTTCCTATCGATCAGCGATATCAATTTTGGAGAAATCCGTCTGAACCACGACGCAAAGACATGGGTTGCTCTGGTGTGCTTACAGAGCACTCAAAGTCGAACACAATTTGCAAAGCAGGAGTGGTATTTAATATGACTATTCCACGAATGAAATAATGTCCAACAGAGTTTCAAAAAGCGTCAAATTGCCAAAAATGTGCCAAATAGTTATAGCAAATAACTGAAAGCTATGTTAAAATCAAAGAGGTAACGTCGTAGTATATACGCGGTTTATTGGACGTCGATATAGCGTTCTATGTATATCGCCTTCAAATTAGTCACTGTTTATGATTGGCCAGTAGGGAGGAGTGGCAAGAAAATTCAGATAGAAAAAGCGATAAACTTTTTGGGATACACCGCCTGTTTAAGGCATTTTATGTGCAGGCGCGGATCCATGGGGAGGAAAATGCGGGAACCCCCCTCCCCCAAAAAAAAAAATTTCAGTAACTATTAATATTAACATATCACGAAACTTACAAACAAAAATATTTGGATAAGCATTAAAACAATAATATTGTATGGCAGCATGAGCTGAGTGTAGCCTGAGACATTTTACAAAATCTGTAATATGACACATTCGACCAAAACATTTTGAATTTCTCCTCCCAAATTTTGTCTCTGGATCCGCCCCTGTTTTGTGTGTATAGTTAAACACCATTGGTTTTAATTTCACTATTGGAAAAGTCATATATATTTCTCTTTTTCAATATTAGGCTCATATGACAAAGATGCAGAAACAGAAAAAAATGTAATAAATTCCCAGATGTGTTGAAATTATTAGAAAAAAGTTGAAAAGAAGGAGAAAGTCAATTGAAATTTTATGGAGAAATGAGAGTCTCTTCTTGCCTCCACAGGTCCGAAATCCATTTCCACCATGAGCCGGTGTACCCCATTTATTGTCCGTATAATATTTGTCTACTTGTCCGCCGAGGGTGGGGTAGAGAGATGTTGCTACTTACTCCGGTGGCAGACGTAGTCATGTTTGCATCAGATCTCAACAACTGCAGCAGTAGCAAGAAACAAATCTCAATGAGAGCTAGTGACGGATCTAGGAAGGGGAGGGGAGAATGAGGGTCATGCCCCCCAAAAAACTTAAAGAAAAAATCGAAATTGGAAAACAGCCGGAAAAATCAAAATCAAAAACACATAAAATTGTAGAAACGTTTAAAATGTATATAAATCTAAAATTTGAAGCCGTTTTTGAGAAAATCATTTGTTTAAAATTGTCTGTATGGTGTCTAAAATGTAAATATATACAACATAATAAGGAATATGTTTATTATTTAACAAAAATGTATGATCCCCCCGCCCCTGAAGAAAATGAATGGCTGGATACTCCTCTGATGAGAGCACACAAGAGTAAACGACAGAGAACGCACACACGACACATAATCAAGTAAATAATTGCGCAAAATGGCGCTTTTCAACTTTCAGTTACTTCGCGCTTGATGACCTTTTATTTTATTTTATTTATTTATTTTTCTTTCTTTTCTTTTCTTAATCGGCATTGAGAATTCTGCAGTAACATCATCAGAATTTCAAGTTTTGGTTGGATAAAGGAAACCCCTCTCTCCTGCCAGCCTCTGGCTGTCAAGTAGACAGAAATATTATTCGAACAATAGGAAACGAGGCTAGATTTTTGTAGTTTGACTTGTTCCGTCGTCCTTAGGGGATTTGTATGGGGCGCAGAGGCGTCCGGTCAAACTGTTTTTGCGAAAGCAAAATATTTCAAAAGCCGCCGCCGAATCCGCGTCGTTGTAAAAAAGAAAAAAGAAAAGAAAAAGCCCACGACCAACCCCGTTGACCGGGAAGGGGTGGGGGGAGCACCTGACGCGCCGATGCGGGAAATGATGTGGCGCCATTGCAGGAACGCCCCGTCAAAATGGCACAACAGTTTAAAAAAATTGGATCCGTTTTTGTGAAAATTTTAAAAGCGTGTCTAGGGTTTCATTAAAGTATCCTCAAAATTTAAATAATGTTTTTCAAAATCGCAGAGATTCAAGTCGAGCCCTATTGACGGGAGAATATCCATTTTTGAAAAAAAGTCTTATAATGAATGGTTTAGGCTCTTGTTGCTCTCGTGTTGTTGACAAATGGACGGACGTTTTGAAAGAAGAAAAAAATGTAAAAACGTTTAACATATTTTTGGTAATTTTGGGACATCAAAACTTGTATATCCGTTGAAATCTCGAAATCGATTTTTCGCAGCATTACATAACTTTATACAACGGAAGTATACGAGGAAGTAAAAATGTAGGGAAGTGCACAAGTTGGTGTGAGGACGCCTCTATCCACGTTCCCCGAAGTTCAAATGTGGTCAAGGAAGAATTTAATTTCAGACGAGAATGTCAGATTTCGTCTCTCGGGACAGAATGATCGGTTTCGTCCGTTGAAACAGCACATTACTTTTGTCTCTCGGGGCAAAACAATGAACTTTGGTTTCCGAGGCAGTGGATACCCTTCCTTAGCCTACAACTACACATATGCTTGTATTACCAGGAGGATTTTACTCCCTGAGAGTGGGCACCTAGGCGCTTTGGTCATTATCCTCACCACTTCCAACATCTTTGGGCTGGTATCCGGATATGTCGGAACGCAGCACCCCAGCCTCTCCAATGAAGACTGGTTAGGGCCACCCTGTCTGCTCAAGGCAACTAACTTTCCGGGCTAGCACCGGAGTCTAATTAAGCACCACTCAGAAAATGCCAGGGCTAATCCCTTCTCAATAGCTCCGGAGTATTGGGCTTTGCCACGACGAAGTCAAGGGAGCTTCCCGGGCAGGTCCAGTAGGGTTCGGGCCCCCTACCCGTCTCTTCACTTCGCACTAATGACGTGAGTATCGCTGGGATGCAGAGCAACTGAAGGGAGATTTCAATGTCCTCGTCAGACTTCTTTATGTAGGTGCGGGATAAAGTCTCGCCCCAATTCCAGCACTGAAGTTGGGCGGATAAGGGTCGAACTTGGCCCTTAGGGTCGCCTGGCAAGCCCTAGTAACCAGGCGCTTAGCACCACATCCTCACTCCGCCCACCTTGGCGCTAACGACATGAGTGCCGCCAAGAAACTAGGATCCGTGTTCGTTTTGTCTCCACCAAGTCGGTTTCCGAGGTAATCTCTAATTCGAGCAGACGTATGCTCATGCTTCGCTTGAAGTTTTCACGATGCGGCATGGTACCGGCATAAACCCGGTACACTGTACGCAATCATTCACTAAGTAACGCAGAACTAACGCACTGACAAAGTAAGTGCGTATAAGTTGCAGTTACTTATATTGCCAGTAGTGGCCAAGCAGTACCTGTCAAAGCGGTCCCTTAGTAATCTCTCTACACCTGCGGGCGGCCTATGCCTCCCTGACGGTTAGCGATCTGCAAGACAGCACAACACATTAAGGGACGTTATCGGTGTTTTTAGTCGGGTCTATTTTTAGGCTCAAGGTTTTCCAAGTATAGTAAATATTAATAACTAAATACTTTCCCTGGCTCATTAAATTAGTTAATTCAATAAAATATTAAGAACAGCATCATCCAGAATAAGATTTTTTTCCTTTTTGGTAACTTGTGTAACCCTGTTTCTAAATTAATAAAAGTAAGCAACTCATTTAGATTTTATAACAGTCTTAATTTCATAATATTAAATAATAAAGACAGCTTTTTCCACTATTGGTTATTTATCATAGACAGATGAATACAAATTTGTTTGAAGGCATTTTTATTATTTAAGGTACTCTCTTTGTTTGCTACATACTTTTGTAGAGGGCTCGGATAAAACGTTTGTGGGCGAGCCTGCACACATATCATTACACTACTGGTCAGGCCACAGCCAGCTCTTGCTCCCTGCTGAGAAATGTGGGCAAGACTGTTGAAAGAGGACTGGCTACAAGAATCGGTCATCATTGTGCCACCTCTTATAATGGCCGATCATTTTCTTTGCCATTGTTATATTGCTAATCTACCATATTCACACACATTGTAAAATGCCCTGTAACTGTTACTGACCATATGATTCACATGTTCTCAATCATTATCTTAATCTCACACCCATCCTGCTCTCAGGAGGTAAAGGATTAGGTTCAGCATGAACTTCATTCACATAGACAGGTTAAGTCTGAGGTGAAGGGCCTTCAAATTTTTGGTTTGTATTTGCTTTTGCTAGATAATGACAGAATTCCTTCCCCAGCTTCTTCCAATCAGTCAGACAGATGTTATGAAAACACCACTTTTTGAATATCAGGGAAACCCAAATTGTGTATGTCTGTCAAAATCTCAACATTGACATTCACAATACCTTTTTCTATTCTTAATACTCTGTATACCAATACCAGTATCCAAGAGCTAAAATTGAAAAATCATCTCTGAGGCCTCAGTCGTTATCCAAAGTAAATGGTGTAATGTTTTATTTTGTCAGACATTTTTCAGTTTGAAATATCAAAAATACATTTCAAAATTATTTTTATTTTCTTTATACAAAATAAAGATAAAAATGATATATACAAAATACATATATACAATCAGTGACATACAATTATTTAATAGCCATATTTTTCATTGAGTTTAGTTTTTCCATCACCACTCTGATCCTCTGGAGGAAGCCACATTGAGTAATTCGGATCTGCAGAACTCATGCTGACCTGTGAAACAAATCCACAAAGGTTATGTAAAAATAAACCAGTGTTGTTACAAATGGTAAAGAGTTTCTAAAACTATTTGTAGTAGGTAAATAAAATCATAATCACAACAGGGAAATCTGTGAGGTTACTAATGGTTCTGGCAAAAATTGACTGTTGTTAGAGGTGGCCTTGCAATCACTATTATGAAGTTATAGGAAGCAGAGATGGGTTTTTATGATGCTAATTGTTGTTAAATCAATTGTATTTGCAGTACAATTATGGTAAATAATGTCAAACTACAAAAAAAATTTAAACAAACTACCCTTGAATTTTAAGATGCAGACACTTTAATAAAAAATGCCTAGCAAAATTGTTTGTTTAGAAGAGTTTACTTTTTAGTTACAAAGATTTCAAAATTTCACAAACTTCAATTTTTAAATTTATTTAAATTTGAATCCTACTGAACAGTGTCCACATGTTTTCTAGTTAAAGTGTTATCTTTTCTCGAATCACTTGCTTTCTCTTGCAGCTAGTGTCAAACATCTCCGACCTCATTAAAAACACAATTTCCATCCCTACCAAATCGAATTCAGAAGAAAACTAGACTTCAAAATGTAATACACCAGTTGGTAGTGAAGTCCCATTAAATAGTTCGCAAATGACCATCAGAATATTTTCTGCAGCCAAGATATGCAGCCAAACTTAACAAGTTCTTCACAGACAGAAGGAATTGAAGAACTTCATGAGAAAGCTCAAGTATAAGCAAAGACACGTTATTTCAATGGACATTTATTAAAAAAATTTTGCCTTGAAAACAAATAAATCTTGCCTGAAAGCGATCTAGAAGGTATGTCGTATATCAAGTGTCTCATTTCAGGAAGATATTGAGTTGACAACATATCCACCGATCTCCTGTTTGTTATTCTATTACAGTAACATTGCTAGAGGTTACCGCTTAATAGAGAGCAATCTGAGAAATGTGTCTGAATGAATGGCCACATGGTACTCAAAACAGGGAATTTGTACACACATTATGGGGAGAAAACAACAACAACAACAACAAACAAAGGGGTCATTGATAGAGAACACCGCCTAATAGTGATGACCATTTGACCAGTTTTCACTGCATAAGCCCATTAGATTGACATAACTGAATTATGTTTATTCAAATTTTCTATTCTACTTTATAATATTTATAATTAAGGATACTAAAGAAAAAAATCGTTGAAATCTACCGATGAAAATATTTTTGACTAATTAAAACAAGTGTGGCTACAACAGCACATACTTTCTCACATTACCTGAGTTGCCATTTTACATTGCATAACTTTCTCCATACTATGTATGTAGTATGAGAAAAAGTAAAAATTAAATAACAAAAAATCAACCTTGCAATTTCTTTCTTTCTTTCTTTCTTTCTTTCTTTTTTAAGTCTTCATTTGCTAAACTAATAAAAATTGTTCCAAAAAGGATTTGAGTATAAATGTTATTTAATTCGTTAACAGGAATTTCTCAATCTAAATCTTCACAACACGACATTAATTAGGCAAGAAATGTGCTTTCTTATCACATCTAATAATATGGGAGGAAACATCATCTCATCCCATCCAACCAGGATTATACAAATACACACAAATTATAATATTCAACTAATATAACCCAAATCGCATTATTAAAAAGGTCAGTAAATAGGGTCTGGTATATTTTCTAGAGAATTTTTGTGTTACAATTGAGGGGTTGCCAGGAAGAAGGGCATATCTCAAATTATGGCGTTTATCCATAAAACATCCTTTAGGTGACATTCTACTCCAAATAGTACTGCGCCAACCCTAATAGTATCATTTCAAAGGCTTACGAAATTCTGAATTGCACCCATTTTCCATAACATTGTTACTTCTACACGCTGGCATCATTTCACTTCCTGCTGTTTAGAACCTTGTCAGGATGGCTGTGTATATAGAAGACACGAATTTGTTCGATATATCTGATTTTTCATCGAATGATAGCGAGTCAAGCATCCAGATGATAGTGATACATCTTCAGAAGCCTATCTCCTTAGTGTTAAAGATAAAAATAAAGGACAAAAGAGGAAACATTTTCCGAAAATCAAAATACATGAATTAAAGAAAAGAAGCGGAAATAGTGGTAAATAACTACTACACCAGTTCATTAATGTTAAGGATTTACTGAAATATTTGAATAAGAGAGAGCAAAAGTGCTATATGAGCATATTTAGAGAAACTGAACCAAATTATGAATGTACCGATTCTGTATATTCAAAAGAAAGTGATGAATGAGTTCGTTAATCTGGATGAGAATGTAAATTATTCTGTACTTGAAAAACTTGTAAATACACACAGACTTTCAAAGAAGGCAACATTTGTTCATTTCAAAATTAGCTTGTTTTATGGAAAAAGTGTGCAATTCATCATTGCCAAATTAATGTACATCCACATATTTGAGCATTTTAGTTCATTTTATGAGCTTAATCAGTGACTACTATGATTTTTCAAGTGATATGTAAGCGTTTGTTTGCTGTTGGGTTGTGTGTGTGTTTTTTATGCGAGAAATCGAGCTTGTACACAGTTTTGCTTGATTATCTCAAAACTGTCTTTTCTGAACGCCGTTCTTCCATCCAATCCCTCAATTGTTAAGTACTCACTGATTCCTTTATGATCTTCTTATTTGGGCGATGTCTTGCTCGTTTTTTACGCTTCTCAGTATGTCCCTCAGTTACAAAATCTTCAGGAGGCAGAATAGGACCAATAACTTTTGGACTTTTCGATGCATTGGTTTCATTACATTTGTTGCTCCTTTCTTTAGCACCTACAACAATATATTCTATTCATCTATCTTCCTGTTTAACATTATATAAGCTCTTAAAATCATAACACAATTATGTAATGCTGTTTCAAGCAATCTTTTCCAACCTTGTGACTCACTAGAATCATTTGCAATGTCTTTCTGACTAGAATTCTTTTCTTGGATTAATTCCTCAATAACTTTACTGCGTTCTTCATTAATGTCTTTCACTGCAGATTCCTTTTCAGGGTTTTCAGCAGCATCAACAGGATTTTTTGATATTTCCATTCTCACTCTCTTGTCGACGTCTTCTTCTTCCTCCTCCTCTTCTTCTTCTTCTTCTTCATCCTCTGCTTCTTTGCCTAATATGTCATCTTTAACCTGGGGCACTTCTACCTGCAATAAAATTAGAATATAAATACAAAATACTTAAATACATTTTCACCTAGTTAACCCACTTGAAAAGAGAATGGAATTAAGGCTATATTTGAGAAATAAATGTTCAACATTTTGTAAATTGCAATTGTTTGTTATCACATTTTTTTCCGGGCACTGCACTACTATGTTATTTTTTAACAAAAAATCAAGAGAATGAGAGGGTAATGATGATAATAACATTTACAATAAAATAAAATTTTTCATAGCAAATGAAACAAAAAAAAAATTCCAAAAATTTCATAAAAATATGCAATGAATGTTTATGAATCAAGGAGAATAAATTACAAATGCTACTCTCACATGCATAATTATTTTTAATAATGAATCTGTTTCTCAAGGAGTTGCATTGTGAGTTTAATTTCTTAATTTCTGCAATAAAGTTTAATCTCCAGTTTTCATAGAATATTCATCAAATAATATTTCATTGAAACATTGATAAAAGATAATATTTACCTCTGACGAACGGCATGGAACTTTGCGTTTAAGAACTCCAGAATATTTATTTCTGTGCTGTAGAGATGAATGTGGTGTTGATTCCTCCATTAATTTCGGCAAACTTGCAGGGCATGCAATATTCACCAACTTTTTGACATGTGCTTCTTCTTTTCTTAGCATCAACAACTCAGACTGCATTAAAAAAAAATTCATTGTAATTCACAGATTCAGTAATTTATTAATATTTTAAACGTATCATGTGTTCTAAGGATTAAGAATGAAGATAGTAAGTAATTGTTACAAAATAAGATACACACAGTAACTTCTCTCTTGTTCTTAAGGCAACATCCACAAAACTTCATTATGATTGGAATAAAAGTGTTGATGCTTAAAAAACAAACCCTTATCTTTATACAATAGAAAATATTTTTATGAAAGTTTATTTTAAGCAACCTAATTTATGTTCAATTAAACACTACCTTTTGGTGAAAACCGCATCAAAACTGGTTAAGCTATTCCAAAAATGACCCCAGACAAACAGATAAAAATTATGAAAACAATTATACAGGATTATTGTATCACGTGAATAACAATATGAAATTAAAACTAGTAAACTTTTGTAATATTGCCCATTTGTCATTGAAAATTGTGTGAAAACAACTAATTTTTTTTTTAATGCACATGACCGTAATAAAAGAACTAATTATGGAGAAAAAAAATTTTGAAGAAAAAATCTCTTAACTTCAATAATGTGGTTACATCAGGAGAATGGGATTTTCTCATTTTTGAAAATTCAGGAGTAACAGTGAAAATCAGACCTAAGTCATTTCTATTTCTTACAATAAATTTAAAGAAAAAATTTTGAACTATTTTTGAGAACATTTTGAAAATGTGCCAGGAGGTTCACGTAAAGTGTCCCCAAATTTAAAGAATATTTTTCAAAATCACAGGGCTTTGAGTCAGTATAGATTGACAAGAGAAAACTCATGTTCAGAAATTTCCTTTATATAGATAAGGTGCTGGTGTTGTTGGCAACTAATCCAAATCAATTTTCTAAAGCATTGCATAACTCTTTTCTATACTGTGTGTATTACTCTGTAAAAAAAATACATGTACGAAGAAGAAAAAATAGTTATTTTGAAATAACAATAAGATACTCCAATATAATTACATAATTATAGATGTAAGGATGTGCAATTCATTAAATACATTTAAACTAAATATGAATAAATTGGTATCTAGTATTTTAACATGGTTACATTTTTTCTGCTCCCAACAAGGAAAATGCTAAACAAATGTATACTCCCATCACAATTGTCAGTATGACCTGACCTTGAATAGTAATTGTCAAACACGATAGTGTTCCATTGCTACAGATAGTAAAATAGGTGACCTAAAGCAGAGGTGGGATTTTGGATCTTTTATTGAAAGGGAGAATGAAAGTATTTTTTATAAAAATTTACAATGACACTTTTATAAAAAAAAATTAATTTAAATTCTCTTAATTTCTATAATATTAATTTTAATAAAAATGTATGAAAAGCAGTATGCTTGTATCCAACAATTTACTTTTTAATAATCTATATTGGTAAATGAATTTGATGCATAACTTATAAATATAATATTACATTGTAGCTGCACAGATTTTGTTTTATATTCTTCGAAACTATAATTGTTCTTTAAAAACTGAGAACCACTGGATATCCCATCTTTTATTTCAGCTTCTCGTAAGTCAGAAAATTACATTTTTTAAATTAGCATGTTATTTTCTTGTTTAGCTCATCAACAGACAAAGTCAGAATGTTTTCAGATATCCGCAAATTTCATTATTCTTCAATTTAAAACTCTAAAAACCCTCACACTAAACTCTTTTTTCTCTCTCCTGTTTGTAGTGAAAATCTTTCTGTTTGTAAAGAAATTGTAATTCCTTATTAAAAGTGAATACTCAATTATCTTGTGTTTATAATTGTTGTTACTATCCATGTAGTCCAAAAAAACGGATATTACCTTTAACTTGTTGATTAACTTGTGGTCAGGAACCTCTGCTGAGAGATTTGTCATGAATGCATCTAGTTCATCTTCATCTTCATCGGCTTCTGGTTCTTTCTTCTTTTTTGTTTGAATTTCTTCTAATTGATTTTGAATTTTGTCAATTTGGGATAAAATTTCCTCTTGTTTCTCAACCTGAATATTAAAAAATGATACATGATATATAAAATACGTGTGATATGTTATGAAAAAACAGATAGAATTTATATATTTATATTCTTACAAGAGATTCATATGTTTCTGTTTGGGTCTGAATTTTACCAGCTGCTTTCATTCTTTGTTGTCTCTTCTTTTCAACACTTCCAGTTCGGTCAAGGAATTCGTCTTCATCACTGTCATAAAAGTCATTTTCTTCCCAATTTTTCACTTTACGCTTTCTACTTTCTACAAAAACAACAACAACACTTTAGCAATTATTACAATAACTGTTCGTTCTACAAAGTGTGAAAACAAATAAGAGGTTCCAAAATGAAACTTCTCATCCCATAAATGAAAGTAACATTCAACAAGTTTAAAGTAGAATTTCACTTGTTCTCACTAAACTTAAATATACACTTACTAACTTTTATTACACATCATTCTACAAAATCAATATATCTTTATTTAAAAAATGGCAAATTTGCTTTCTTTAACTCATTATTTCCCAGTGGCACCTGGTGGTGCCACACATTTAATTAAAAATAATACAGCTAATTATTAAGCATCAGAGCTAATGCTCCCCTCTCTCTTTTTTTGTATGTGTTGGTAGTGGTGCTTTGTGTGTATTTATTTGTTTTTTGCACATTCTCAATGCATTGTACCTATAGCATCGATAGGTACCTACGGCCCAATAGAATGCACATGGAAGTTATATTAATTTGGAAAACATGAGTTTGCAGCCTTGCAATTTACAAAACAGCAGCACCAGAATTGAAAGAGTGACACACTATTTGTTCCTAAGAGTTGCAATGCAGACGAGCAAATGTTCACAAAACACATTACATACAAAGCAGCACAAACCATGTTGACAATAAATGACATCAAGCACATAAGAAAACTGGAGTTGAACACTGCCATTAAACTATTTCAAGCAAAAGTCCTGACCATATTAACATATGGAATTGAGAGCATTTGGATGTCAATTTGTTTACTAGAATAATATCCACAATAATCATGCTGCTGAATGACATTTTGCGCACTCCCAAGCAGTGGCAAATCCAGGGACAAGGTCTAGAGTTTTTGATTACCTCCCTTTATTTGTCATAATTTATTTAAATAATCATGCCACAATTATGTAATTATTTAAAAAGTAATATTATGTAGTATCAGCTATTCACCACAAAAATAATATACTATACAAAACAAATATGTTTATTATTCAACAAAAATATATGAAGCCCTCTCAATGATCACCTGGATCTGTCCCTCCTCTCAAGGGTCATTGACCAGCAATATATTTTCAAATAATAGAATCAAACAAAAATTGCCATAGTTACCACTAAGTGATTTCGCTTAGTAATTTTATAAAAGATACTAAACATACAATTTAAGAAACAACATTTAAGATGATAATTAGCCTTCAATTTTGTGTGTGGTGATTTTTGTTTCTGCTATAACTGTCCTGCTAACTTAAGGGACGTTGAATATTGTATTGTGTTGACATCTGTTCATAATAATGAATGGTACTTATATATTGCAAACAACATACCATGCTTTGCCTGTCTCAGCAATCCATATCGATCTAAAATTCTACAAGCTTCTAAAGCACACTGAACAACTGCTTCTTTCTTCTTTCCTTTCACTAATGATTCAGCAATAATTGTCCCTCCTTTGACACTTTCCACTGGCAACCTACATGATAATAAACAATTAAACAGTATAAAGTATTTCTATTCTTTGCAAATGGATAAAAAGCATTCCAAAAACAATGCCTTAATAACTTACTCTACCCGACACAAGAACTGTCCAAAACCTCTCTCTTCCACATCATATTCCAGGTCATATCCTTCTCGTTCAAACCAACCACGCAATGTTTTTTTAGGATCATCAAGATACAGTTCTTCATTAGGGGCTGCAGCAAATGGATTTTCTGACAAATCAGTTTCTTCTTCAGCATCATCTCCTGGAAAATTGAAAAACAAAATAAGGAATAGTATTGTTGTGAAAATTCAAAACTTCACAACAAGAATACAGAAAATGCCATTACAAATGCAGCGGGAACAAAGCATATGAAGAACGAGCCATGAAAATCACATATCCATATGTTTTATTCATCCCAGCCGCCACGCTTCTCTGAGGGGGTAGCGTGTACCCTACTTAAACCAAATGAAGTAATACCTCATTTTATACTTGGGGTATAAAAAATAATTCAGTAACAGGAGTTTGAAATTAAAACAAAAGAAGGTTTTATTGAAAAGAGATCTGGAGTAGTAAAATGTGTGACAAAATAATATGGAGCAGTATACAAACATCGTAAGTAAGAAAGAAGGTAAACAATCACCAAATTTACAGGGCATTTTATGAATATCCTTTTGGAAGATTTTTTCTCTTCACAACATAAAACACTTTCATGAAAAGAAATGAGTTATTTTAATAAATTCATTAGAAAACCAATTTGCATATACAACTAAATAAATGATCTATCATTACATCAGTACTCACCCATTCCCCAGTCAATTCCAGCTGCTTCTTCTTTTTCTTGCTGTAAACGAAGTTCTTCAGATTCTTGGATTTCTTGAAGTTCCTTTGCTGCCTGTTCTTCTTTGCGTTTTTCCTTCAATTCTGTAACACTTAGTTCTGATTCTTTTTCCATATCTTCTTCAGGTCCTTGTAAGATAAACATTCGTGAGCTGCCGCCTAATTTTAGTAAGTGTCCCACCTATAAGTACAGCATACATCAATTAGAGCTAAGAACTAAATTAGAACTTGCAATTATAATCCTATATTAATAAGATTCACACACACAAAATATAGCGCTTAATAAACAGAATAAGCTCTTACACAGAATGCAACAAATTTACTTTTTTAATCAATTCTTTAACTAACTTAGGTGACTTAACAGTGAAAAATTGACCAAACATTGTTTAGTTAAGGATGAAGATACATTTGAACATGTCCATAATCATACAATAAAAGATCAGAAAGGAGTTATTGGTTCTAGTGCCTATTCCATAATAACAACATTATATACTTACATGTACTCGAACGTATATGTTAGGTTTGATTCGGTTTTTATTAAGGAAAGTTCCATGAGTACTTCCAAGGTCATAAACGTAAAATCCAACAGCTCCATCAGTATCATCACTGCGAAACTGTAATACTGCATGATAACGTGAGACTGTAGGATGAGCCATCTGAATGTCACATTGGGTTAAACGACCAAATATAAAATACGGTTTAGAAGAAAGATCAATTGTTTCAACAATGCTACCATTCTTTAAAACTTCAAATTTGTACAAGTCATTTGGAATGCCACTCCACTTTGGTTCCTTGTATGGCAAAGGTACAGAGTTCTCATTCAGTTTCTGGGCAGGTGATATGACATGAACTTTCTTTTCAACAACATCTTTATCAGACTCTGATTTTATTGCAACATCAGCAGTGTTCTTGATTTCCACTGATTGGTCTTCTTTGGGAGGTTCTTCTGTTTCCACGACTGTGTCAGGAGGCTCCGCTGACTTTAATACTTGCATTTTCCCAATTGGTTTGCCTTTGCGAGGTCCGATGAGAAACGAAGGTTTTTTGAAAACTTCTGTTTTCGTTTTTCTCTCCTCAACTGTACACATTTCTTCCACTGATGAACGTATTTGTTTATCCCCATTACTTGAAATCACATCATTATTTTTTTCAGGATCAATAACATTAACTGGTGTGTCTGCATCAAGTAGCTTTTCCTCGTCTGTACTTTCCATAGTTCTTATTTAAAATTCGTAATTAAAACAGACGCAAGTTTCATAACCTTAAATTCACTAAGTTAAGGGAAAATTTCACATTAAAGTCAAAATATTGCCATCGACATTAACAGCCCTGGTGGCTGATAAAATGCAATTCAAAACAAAACATTATTCTAGTCATGAGGACAATTATAAAATTCACATTTACCACTTATTTACTGAACAAAACAATCACTGAACTCTCGTCCGCTCTCGTCTATTCCACTTCTTTTTAAAATGTTGGCGGCGCCAAAAAACATATACTAGGATTTTTATAACGTGACACGTCAGAGCTATTTCACGAGAGGCTTCACGATGGCTCTCACGGTATTTCGCGTCTTTCTCGGTTGTGTCTTAAGATGTCGCATGATTTCGACCGTATCGAGCAGTGTTGGCGATCGTACGGCATTTAGCGGCATAACCGCAGAAGACGCGAAATACCGTGAGAGCCATCGTGAATACAGCCTGTGACGCGCCACGTTACAAAAACCCAAGTATAGTTCAGCGTTACCCTGAGAGCAGATAACGTAAAGAAAGTACTAATTTTTTTCAAATATAAAGTACCATCAAGTGAGAGAACAGTATTATGCATCGACAGTGTGCATAACACGTAAATATATTATCTTCATTTGACACTTAAATACCACGAATGTGCACTGTGTGTGAATGACAGTTGTCAGTACTGCGTAAATGTCGAAACACTTCGCGCCTGAGCACGATACAACCAAACTTACCACATTTGCATATTTTGTACCAAAAAGATGCAAGGGCATGATCATGGAGGAATGCACCTTCTATATTCCTCAATGAAATAAGCGAGCCGCTACGCCACTAGCCGCGATTATCCAAAGAGCAACATACACCACTATGGATCACAATTTTAGCGGGAATTTTAAACACTGCAAGATACCAAAACAATTATCACCATGTCATTGAAACATATATACAATTGTTCTTTACAATATTAGTGTCGTAAAGCATCTGTTTACAATATGAGATTGTCAAACTGCCAAACGAGGCCGTTAGGCCGAGTTTGGTAACCAACTGAGTATACGACACGAATATCCTACGACGTTCAATCCACTTAGTAAAAAATTGTTTGATTTAATGTGAAATGTCGTTGTACGCCTTTCAATTAGTATTAGCGTACCTCGAGAGAGAACTCACCCATGTTAAATTCCACCCTCTTTTCTATCCTTCCATTTCCGTATTAAGAGGGAAAGTTGTTAACACGTCTTTATTTGTGTAAAAAATGTAATTATCTTCGAACGTACTTATCTATACTAAAATATAGAGACATAAGCGCCGAACTGACAAAAATGTAAAAGAATGTCCAAAAATATACTGTAGATTACGGTGTGAGGAACGATTCTTTGAGGACTTTGGCCTCAAAATTGTAAGTTTTAATGTCCTACAAAACTTCATTTATGAGTTATTTCACTACATAGATTTTGACAGTGCTATCGAGCGTTGCAGGTTGCATTTGATATGAATATCCACATACGTATTTTTTTTCTTTTCAAGAAATCCTTATTTTAAAAGTCAAAATGCAATTCGTCACATAAACTCTTTCTTTACAGGCCGCATGTATAAAGATTGGTTACTTGCGAGAGTCGCAAAATGTATGAATTCTACTTTACTATTATCTTCTATCTCTGATATTGGTAATGAAGTTTTAAATCTACTAAATATAATTCACTAAATATAAAATGTTCACTAATAACACAAAAAATACTAAAAAAAGTAGGATCAACTCTTTACCTAAGGAAATATTTTAAATCTAATATCACTGAAACATACAACTCGTCGCAAATAGCAGATAACTCGTGATCCCCAAACCAAAAAATTACTAAACAGATTAACTAGCTCAGTCAAAGATTAATGTATCTTTGACTGAGCTAGTTAATCTGTTCAATATATCTGATCAATATATATTCACCAAATTTAATTATTATTTATCCCATCTTCAACCTCACTTTAACTCTCTTTCAACAGCTCTTTAACGAATAGCGAATGAAAAGTACCAAATAGGAACGTTAAAAAATTCAAATTCTATTGCAACCTTAGATGCAGAAAAGCTGAACATTTGCAAAACAATTTCAATTGTCCTTTACTAACAATCCTACCACTGACACTGTATTCGCGCAGAGTTTATTCAATTATCACGAAAATACTTTCCATATACTGTGCCTGAACGTATTAAATTTATTTCCCCCCTCCCAAATAAAATTCATTGTTGCCAAAATCACAAATATGAAAAAATCTCCTTATATGGATCAAATTCCAAATATTGAATCCAAACATCTTCAAATACAAAAATAAGTTCTTTAACAGCCATATATAACGCTTGTCTCAAATTGAATTACTTTCCTGAGATGTGGAAAATTGCTCTCATTTTATCCATTATCAAACCACACAAAAATCACAGTAATACTTAAAATGGTCATCCTATCAGTTTTCTATCCAATTTTTCAAAAATCTTTTAAAAAGCTATTATATATCGATTAATTAAATTTATTCAATCAACTAATCTCTTACCTAATTCTCAATTTGGTTTCAGACATAATTATTCAACTACTCAACTGCTACGTTTATCTGACCACATTGCTACAGGTTTTCAAAAACAATTTTTTGCTATATTTCTAGATATAAAAAAAGGTTTTGATAAAGTGTGGAACAGTGGTTTATTATATAAATTAAGAAATTTTGGTTTCCCAATATATGGTCTTAAAAATATTTTTGCTAGTTTCTTATCCAATCGTAAATTCCAAGTTAAAACTAACAGTACTCTTTGTAGCGGATTTTGTTCCAGAAAATTTGCAATTTTTCTTCTCCCCTATATGTCACATAGGGTCCAGTTTTTTACATTAAATAATGATTTGTATGCAATGCAGTAATGTACTTCTCTTTCGAACTCGTTAAACATATCGTTTACGATTTTGGTAACAAAACAAGGATATAACGAGTTAAAATTACAGAAAAACATTTAATAAAAACAAGAAATGAGACTCGCAACTTATATCTAACTACTGCCACCACTCTCGGCTTGTGGGACATAAAGGCATTTCGAGACATCGAATAACCAATTTCTAGAGTGTGGACGCAGCTTCACCGGCTTCTTTCCTCATTTCTCGCAAGGCATTCCTCAGAGTAATCTGTTGCGGGTGTTACATAGGGGTAAGGAATGCAGGAATGTTAGTTCAGTGCAGCGTCGGACAACAGGAGAATAAATGACGTCAGAGCCGCCTTCCCCTCCGTGAGCAGGCGCACGGCGAAGCAGTGCGGGCGAAGGGGGGGAGGGAGGGGTCCACAGACGGCGGTGACCGGTGATGAAAACCTTGGCAGTGGATCATTGCCGGCGTTTCAGGCCGCATGAGGGGGAAACCATATACATCCGTTAATTTTCTTTCGGTTTGGAAAGAAAGGTTTCCTTTTGTAGATACTGGAACACTGGCGAAGTGTTTTTTGTACTCGAAAGAACTGGAGTATGTTGAAAAGTCCAAACTACAGATACATTACATAGCTTTATGGTCCAAAGAAATCTGAGAGATAAAAATAAATTCTGAGAATGGACATGGTCCGCAATCATGGGATGAGTAATGGAATTTTCCGATTGAAAATTGTGGAAAAGATACTGAAAACCACAAGGATTTACAATATTTTCAAACAAAAGTGTACATAAAAAATTATCAAGCCTGGAACTGCCGAAAAATCTCTATCTGCCACTGGAAGAGAGCGCTTTGACAGCTACTGCTTGGCCACTGCTGGTAATTTAATTGTAGGTTAGGTATATACATGCACTCGATTTGCCAGTGCGTTCGTTTACTGTAAGCTCATTTGTAAATGATTCCATAACTGTATCTTGCAACGTCATCCCCCTGCATGACGCTTTTTTGTTTCCCGACCTGTCAAAGTGGTCCTTTCGAGTAACTCCTCTGTAGCAAGATGGCGTCATTTCTTGGCTTGACTGCTATGTTAGCACCAGTGCCTGAGCTAGACAATTTGGGGCTCGGGGCTATGCTGAAACGTAGCCCCTCGGAAAGAAGTGTGTAAGTTGTTCAAGAAATTATAAGTTATTTCATTTCAACAAATAAAAAAATTACAAAGTTTAAGTTAGAAAAAAGGTTTTGGAAATATATTTAAAAAATTGTTTTAAGCAAAAGTATTTAGTGACCAAATAATACTATAATTTCGACGGTGAGCTTAAAACGCAAACAAAAAGTTGTGTTTAGTATTTTTAATAACATCTTTATGAAATATCAGACTACTGTACCGCGACACATAAACTGATAACGATAAGTAATTTATGATAACGGTTCTCTCGAGTTCTTTTTTTTTTTTTTTTTTTCAATTTTTTACTATTTTTCCTCATCAGTCCTACCATCGGGCTCCGTGACTTGCAGGGAGCGGTCGCCCGGCCAGCCCATGCTTCGCGTCGACACTGTTCAGCACCCAGCATAGACTGCCAGTCTGTGAACTCGTGAATCTGCACGCCCGACGAAAGACCTAGAATGTCAGGAGGCCGAGAGGTGGCGCGGGGAGGAGGGCATCTTATCGATGTCGAGGCACGATAACAGGGGGCTCGGCGCGGAGCGGTTCGCAGGTGTTCAGTGCGCCGCCATGGGTTCTGCGCCGCAGGTGCGAGCGGCTGCGGGCGCTTTGCTGTCCGTGACCGTGGTGTGGTTGGCGCTGGGCACGACGTTGGTGGCGCTGCTGCTGGCGCCAGTGGTGCGGGCCGCGCAGTCAGGGGAAGGCGGCGATGATTCCGGGGAAACCGACACCCCTTCAGGGGAAGGCGGCGATAATCCTGGTTCGCGTAAGTGAGCGATGGAATAAGTTGCGATTTGTGTTATTCTTAACATTAGTAGTGATTTAATATTAACAAATATGTCGTTATTATCATCGCAATGACCCTGAAGAGAATACGGTATACTGACCATACTTGGTACTGCCTGGAGAACTGTGGAGGATTCAATGAAGGCTTTTGTCTAGGTGAGAAAGTTTTTGAATAATGTTCAATTTTACTAATTAAATATCATATGATACCGGCCTATATATGCAGACGCCCGCGAAGGAAACAGCTCGGAACAAATTATTCTGAGTGCCATTGATTGATTATTTCGTATTGCTGGGCAAGTTAACTATTAACGTCAAATTCCTGTAAGTGTAGTGCATGTTTTATCCCGAGAGGTGGCGGTGTTTCTCCTTCGATGGAACTTCAGATCCGACGCCAACACATATCGCTTGCCGGATTTTCCCCTTGGTATCTCCCCCAGCACGGTTGTGGGTTGGATCCCAAGTAGGCATGTGTGTCTTCATCACGTAGGCGTAAAAGAAACACTTACATATCCATAAATAGCATTCCTTTTCATCATTCATTTACTCTTAATTGCTTCGTGCCATAACTCCTGAAAGAAGTGCAGAGGCTGAAAACGAAAGAAAAAAAAACAAAGAATGAAAGATACTTTCTATCTTATCAGAAAAACTGTTGTGATTTGAAAATATTTCGTATACGGCGATCAGAATGACAAAGCTTCCTGGTTGGCTCTGGAAGTCTTAATTTAAATTTCTTCAGATTTTTTTGTTTTGTTTTGTGAATCCTTATTACCCAAAAATCAGTTAACAACAAACCGTCTCTCTTTAGAAAAAATATATATTTTGAATATTGTAGTTGTAAGAAGACCCCGAAAACAATGTTAACTTTTGCAACCTTCGAAAATTCAGAGTACAACGAAAATAGGACATGTCCCATTTTATAAACGTACTTTTCTCTATCCAAGAAATTAAAGAAAAGGTTTGGTGATATTTTAGAAAAAAATGAAAATTTTGAGATTTCATATAATGCAACATCAAAAATTCAAATAGAGACGTTTTGTACGTCGGGAAGCACCTTAGCATATACCATATTCTAAGGCTTCTGAGCATGCGCGAATTCCAACTCGAAATTATGCCGGGGACCGCAAATATGCCGTATTTAGCGGGCTACTTATACCGCTTATACCGATTACACCGTATAATACCGCATACTATCACTCGGTCATATTTATGGAATTTGTCCCCAACAAATACACAGTGGCGACAGAGAGTGCTGCCAACTCTAAATTTCCATGATGCACCATCAATTCGGTGGCATTCATTTGTTTTGTAATTGTCTTAATATATTATTAATTTTTAATTAATAACTAGTGGAATAGGCAATGCTTCGCAATTGCAGTGCATTACATATCACACACTTCTGGTCACGTGAGTATTAACACATTTTACGCTACGCTGTGCAAAAATTCTAAATACGAAAAACTTCCTCGCATATGGGTTTGTTCTATGTCGTGGTTTGGACATGGTTGTCATGTATCATATTGTTAAAACGTTTTCTTTCAAATTTGGGCATGCATTCGCTATGGCCTTATCTAGGAGAAATTTGTTTTACTTTACCGAGATTCAAGTAATAATTCAGGCCGATAATTCACAATCGCAGGGGCAGTACGTATACTTGTGTGCTGTGAAGACGCGCTTAATCCTTGACTGTGCGGCGGGTTGCGTGTAGTTCAGGAGCGATTGAGTCGTCTTAAACTCATAAATCATCATCAGCACGCACCCACATGTACGATTTAATTCAAACCATTCTTTAAACACTCCTTTTACTAACAAGAACAAAGTGTGAAAATTTCAGTTAAATCGGTCAAGCAGTTTTTACATGTATGTGCGAAACACGCAAAAATATTCACTTATATCCATCTCTCTCTCTCTCTCTTCTCTCTCTATATATATACTAATATATATATTATATATATATATATATATATACGAGAGAGAGAGAGAAGAGAGAGAGGTAGATAGATAGAGTGACTCATGGCTATTGGCCCCTGGTGGCTTAAGGTTAGCGAGATAGTTTTCCATGTCGCGACCCCGTATGTATTCTTGGACGGGACATAACTATTATCTTATAGGGCAATCATTATGCTGGTTGACAATGAAAGCTTCCTGTAGGTAGATGGCACAAGGGATCGCGACCTGATTTTCTGCAGGGCTCTCCAGTCTACGGCCGTCATGCCGGGACCCTCTGGCAAAGGCCTAGTCTCATGAGGCTATAGCGGCGGAGTACATAATCTATATCTATACTAATATATAAAGACGAAAGGGCGTTGAGTTACAGCGCAATAATCTCTTAATGTACTGAACCAATATCGATGAAACTTTTGTGCTAGCTTCCTTTGAAACCCAGAATTACTATAGATTCTGATTTACAACCGTAAACCTTAAACTATTTACAAAACAATTATTGAATTGATGCCTTATTTTAACGTGGCGTGACTCGGGCCATCAGGCCCTCTCTTCAGTCTGACAACGGAAATTTCGCTACGCTCCTTTCACCCACTAGCTAGAAAGGAGGTATCACTTGGGGGGACGAAACAGGTGATTTAAATTTAGCTCAGATGCTACATTTATGCTTGAGGATCTTTTACATTCAGTAAATCTACTAACATGGGACAACCGGCTTTACTTCCCCTCTCAAGGAAGACATACGAAGGATTTTTTCGCCCTTAAAAATCCACTGCTTCGTTCGGGTTTGAATCCGCGAACTTGGGTATAACATTCCGATACGCTAACGGTTACACAATCGCCGCCGCTAATTACTTTTGTGGACATTTTTCGCCTAGAATTACATCACAGATTCAAGAGTGAATCAATGCGCATAGTGTAAGCTGCGTGACACCACAGGGTGACGACTGAGATTAACGATTGACTTCATCAATATACAGAATTGTGTAGCTATAAGAAAAGTTTCGACTATGCGTTTATTTTTACGAGTACATTCAATTGTCTAAACCGGAATGTTTATTTTTAAGAAAGATTATGACATATTTTCTTCATTCTATTTATAATGGTAATTTGGACATTGATTGCTTTTAGGTGTGAATACATTAAGTGTAAAGGAGATATGAAATTACAGGGAAAAAGTTATTACGTTATAAAGTTACTGATGTGGTTGTAAAAAGTGTGAATGCACACGTGTTCTGTATTAAATAGTTAGGTTCTGGTTTAGTGGTATTAGATTAAGCATGATCATTACTTATTTGAGAGTTTCACAAGCGAAAGTAAAACACATTATGAATGACTTAAGTGTTATGCTGCAACTATGACAGATAAATGTATTTTTGTAGGAATATTTTTTTGTAGTGGAGAGTGATAAGAGTATCTGTGGGTGCTGAAATAATGATTATTTAAATTCATGAGAATAAGTTAGGCAAGAAGAAGTTTAATTGAAGTAAAAAATAATGAGAAATGGTATTTTGGAGGAATTGAACGTGTGTCAACGCTGTTTTCGAGGTCGTTGACAATAGAACAAAATATATTATTTTCAATACAACAAAAACTTTTGACAATCCGGAATCCGCTGTGATCACGTAGTTTTGAAGATATAATTACCTAAGTGATTCAAGACATTTCCCACTAGATCCTAAAACTTGTATTCGAATTCAACTAAATTACAATTGCCTGGGCGGATCAATTTCACATTTTTCTTTACAATTACGAGAAAAAGCATCAAAAATAGATAGTTTTACAATGTGACATTTGATTGAAAGTACTGGTACAATACGTGAAATTCTATAAAAAGGAATACACGTAAGTAAATTTATTTCACATTTTAGTTTGATTTGTTTATTAATTTTAGCTATAAAGTTAGTGAAGTTTGGAAGCGGGTTCCCCAATAAGAAAAAATGGATTTTTTTCGTGAGAAACACTGGTTTTTTTTCAGATGGGAGTAAGGCAGAGAGGGGCGGGGCAAGGCGGGTCGGTGACCCGATGAAATAGAAGTAGGGTCCGCCGCACGGCGGGAATAAATGGACAAAATTCTGAAAATTGCTTCCACACAATTTCTGTTTCTTTTGCTGTTTTTCGGCACTGAATCTTTAATAATAGATTGTATTTCATAGTTTGAAACATTACCAAAACGACTCATTTTCTTCTAAATTAATGCTTCCAAGTTATTATGGACCTAAAAAAGACCTATCTATATCAACAAAAAGGTAAACAAAGTAATTACTGTTGAGGCTGTATGCGTCCGTTCAAAAAACGCGCCGAGACAAAGGCGTAAAAACAGCTTCCCCGTATTGTCCGATTTTCTTTAGAATGGGATGATTTGACAGCTAGTGCTGGCAACACAACTGACAATTCTGTGGTCGTTGTGTCCTTGAACTTATTAGACGCTCCTTCCTCCATTCGTTCGTTTGCAGTTGGCAAACTTGTAAATAGTTACAACGCTCCCTGCTGTGATGTCCTCGTCCGACAAAAATATAGTGCGCCACGAGAAATAATTGAAATTAGGACGTGCAGAGCTTTTGGGCTCTTCAGTAAAAATTCTTTCTTTTTATAAAAATTACATTGAATTTAGTTTTTATGTGATAAGTATTTTGTTTGATTTAAAATCGAGTCTTGAATATGAGATGCGTACTCGTGACGGTGCACGTAAGGGAGCCGTAAACAAACGAAGGGGCGTAACTAAACAGCTGACGCGGCGGAGGGATACTTCTCTGAAGTACACCTGATGTTCACTTGTTTCGCGAACTGTCACTTTATCCCATTCTTAAGAAAATCGTTCTATAGCTTGTCGGGGCGGCGTGCCGGCAAAGGCGCTGGCCAATGAGTGACCAGCGCGCGGAGCGGCAGTCGAGCAGCGAGGCTATGCGGGGGCCGGGAATAAAGCCGGGCACCGCCACCGGACCAGCGTGTCTACGAGAGTCATTGAAGTTTTCAGACACTGGTTTCAACCTGGCATTGTGTTTGGATATTCTACTGAGTTAACTATCAGAAATGTTTGCAATTTATAAAAACAATATTTTCTAAAAAAACGCTCCAATATTTCATAAAGTTTCTCCTCCTATATAGCAAAGTATCGTAAAAACTAGTTATGCTATTAAATAGCACAAGCTTTCTCGCATTAATTTTCTAATCCCTTTATACTGTGCTGTTTTTTAATCATGCCTTATTCTCTTTTCAGCTGCCATCTTTTGCTGCTCAAAGAACATTTTTCACATTTTTATTTTCAGTTTTTAGGCTCCCTAATTCTAGAACAAAAACAACAATGTCTTGACTATTACAGAAGTGTCCGACCCGGATGGCCGAGGTGGGTAAATGGCGTGTACGGATTGCAAGATGTCGCGGATTCAAATAACATAAAATTTTAATTTGATGAATGTTTGTTGCAGAAAACTATTGAGACATCGAGAAACTTTATTGAAAACAATTTAAAGCACTTCTACTCACAAGTGTAATCAATACAGATAAACACACCGGAAGTGTATCTATGTGATTTTCGAATTTATAACTTTTAAAGAATTTTTCAACTCTCGCATTTTATTTTGTCATGATATCCTTAACAGATCCGAATATTATTGCTTCTCGTTTATCACTAAGGTTGTCGCCTCGGCGTAGTGGTATGTGTATAAGCAATTTAACTCTTGAGGAACTGAGTTTGGGTGTGGGAGCGGAAGCGAAGTTTTGCTGGTTGAAAACACTTTTGCAAAGTATATGTAATAGTATAATGTAGGGGAAGAGATAAAAACAATGTGAGAATGTATGTGCTTTTGTGATACCTCTATTTTAAACAAATATTGATATAATTACCGTTTTTTAGTAACGTCAAAATATAACTTCACTAGTTTCACGGCACGTAATCCGCAAACTTCACGACACGTTCTGGAATCTCGACTTTACAAACAATTTAAACCTATGAAATGTGCTTCTCACTGAAGAAAAATGTATAGGCTAGTGTATAAACGAACGTTACTATTTTTTACACAAAAAACGTCGATATCATAAGTATACTTTTTTTTTGCAGCTGATGACGATTGCTGTTGGCTGGATCGGGAAATCTGTAACGAACCCTGCCGCATCTTCCCTAATAATATCTGTGGTGAGTAAGAAATGATATTTTTTTATATTATCCAAAATATCACGTAAAAATTGAGTTTAAAATATCAATGAAACATAGGAAAAAATTACCAAAGAAGACGAGAGATTCAGCGATATTTCTATGAAAACAAGCATGACAAAATTACAATCAGAATGATAGCATTTAGCGGGTAAAATTATCGATGTACCATTTTGAATATGTCTTCAATTTCAATAATTTATTAGAAATAAATTGAAGTATCTCGTGTATGTGAAAAACTTCGAAACTTTCATTGCTTTGTCCCATGTTCACTATATCCTTGAGAGCACAAAAAGTTCTCCTGTAGCTGTAACACTTAACCTAACCCAGTCGACACCATCAGGAAGATGCACACGTCGCGTTTAACGAGATAAACCAAACAGACGAAAATCGACCAATCGCAATGTAATGTAATATTATAATATGGCAATTTCTAATTCTGTCTGACACCTCAACTATCATTTGAAAAATTCTTGAAGAAACGAAGCGGAAAAAATATATTTTTCCAAATCCAAGCGTTTATTCAAAATCACCTTTCTGCCCTTTCTGCCATTGAATTCAATGTATTCACGTTCTACATAAATGTACCAACGATGCCCGATGCTTATTTTAGCCGTAAGTAAAAGTATTCGTTTGTATTAAGGACAACCAACGGCGACCGTGATTATCGCCTCCTGTTATCAGTGCAATTTAAAATATATTTAATAATTAAATAATATTAAACGTAATATTTATTTTCAAGATTCGAATGACAGCCTCCAACCTCTTTCACCTATCCTTATGTTAACACCAGAAATAGAAAATTTAAATCCACTATTTACATTCACAATGTCCTGATTGTCGATACCACCTTCTTTCATAAGAAACACTCTTCTAGAAATACCGCACGACAATGAAAGATTATTCTGTGGACTTCACGCCGAATCGCGACCTTCCTATTGTTAAATTGCAACATTATAACCAGATTGAAAAGTGTATCTCCAAGTATCGTACGTTTTAATAAATATTCGTACAAAATTATTTTCAATTGTAAACTATAATTAAATTAATTAAGTCGTAATTTAATTAAAGTAAGGGCCTTTCCAAAAAACGGAATTTTCAAATTCCAATTTGCGCAAAAAATACTTATATTTAAAAAAGTGTACGTAATCTTATTTGAAGATCTGTTTTGGTTGAACACATTTCATAAAGAAAAAAATTATCTTCATCATTGTATTTGTAGGAAGACGCTGAAAACGAATTGCAACTTTTGCAAATCACCAACATACATTGAAAATGCAAATACATTCCTCGCAACACGGATAAAAAAATATGGATTATCAAAAAGGGAGCTTAAATAATTTCTAGAAGATTAACTAAAGGTATAAGAAAAGATCGAATGTATGAAACGAACAAATAAATACGAAATACAAATTCTAACGTACGTAGCATCTAATCACTCTGGAATAACATCTCAAATTATGTTCACGAGGCGCAGGATATTCTGAACGCAGGACTGTGTTTTTACGCCAAATTACTAAAAGAAAACCCTCATATTTTAAAAAATCAATATGTTATTATGTGAAGATCTATTATGATAAATACATTTTATTAAGAAAATATTTATCTTCACAATTGCGATTGTAGGAAATAGCTGGAAAAATTTTCGAAAAATCAGTTATTTTAACGAACATGAGACATACCATTCTCATAAGAGTCCTTTATCTTATCTAAGATCTCAATTTAATCTAAAACATTTGTGTCGTTTTTAAGAAAAAACTGTTTGAAGGAAATCGAATTTGCATGTTTGACACACAATTTCGCAAAACATGCTCATATTTTTGAAAAATTGAAAGATCCGTATTTAAGGAACAGGATAATATTTTAGTTGTAGGCCAACGCCGCAAAAATTTTCGTTTTCAACGAACATGAAATCTGCACCATTTTCTTCCTTCACACAATCCAATAACAAAGTTTAATCAAAAACGTTGGAGTCTTTTTTTTTTGGAAATTTTGTAAATGTCCGAAGGTACTTAAGTGAAGTACTTCCAAATTTTGAAATTTTGAGTTCAAATTCCAGAATTCATAACATCAGACACATCAATAGAATGTCAATTTTGAAGAATAAGAGCTCAAAGGTTTAGTCGTTATCATTGTTCATAGACGGACGTACAGACGTTTTGCTGTCTTTCGATTTTTCGGTATCAAGGACCCACAAAACATGGATTCTGGATACACCACGAGTAGAGATTTTTTTTTAAAATTTCGCAATTGGATTTACTTTTTCGTTACCAAGGCCCGTACAAATTTTTCGCCGCTTTTCCCGGCAGCATTACATAACTCGGCGGCATAAGCGGTAGTAAGAGAGTAAAAAACGTAAAATTGTGCATAAAAATAAGCTATTTTTTATTTTAATTTAATATTAAATAAACATTAGCATATAAAAAAGTTGCACCGAAGTTTCTCGAAATTTATTTACTTCTTGTTCGGCCGTGTGGTATTTCAGGGCCGAATAGCAGGCGCGGATCCAGAGGGGGATTGTGGAAATTGGAGAAATTCCCCCTCCAAAAAATTTTTCAGTAACTATTAATTTTAACTTCTCATGAAACTTTGAAGTAACAAGTGGTGCTAAAATATCACGTTAGTTCTCGCCCGTACTTTCATGCAAAATTAAGCAAATTTTCGAAGAAATGTACATGACCTTATTTCAAAATCTACCTTTAAGGAACAAATTTCATTAAGGGAAAAATCTCTGTCTTTAATATTTTAGTTGTAGGAAGACTCCAAAAAAATGTTCAACTTTTGAAATTTCCAAAACATCATGTTTTTTAACGAACTTGAGGCCTGTACCAATTTCTTCACGCTATCAATCGCCTTTCACATAACCTAACACAAAAGAAAAAAAGAGAAAAAAAAGCATGTGTTAATTTTAAAAATGTCCCGGGAGGTTAATGTTAATACCTCCCCAAATTGAAACATCGGTTTCAAATTCCTGGGATCGTACCATCAGCCATCTCGATTGGAGAATATCTGTTTTGGAGAAATTCGGCTGATTGGTTTAGCTGCTAGCATTGTTCGCAGACTGGCAGACGTTTAGTCGTCATTCTATTTTAGGACCCTGCAATAAGAGTATTTTTGTCAAAAAGCGGAAAAAATCGAATTGGGTCATGAGCTGAGTTTAGCCTGCGTCATTTTACATGTAATATGAATATTTGTATATTTTGAATAAAAAATATCTCAATGTATCTATCACACTCGACTCACAGTCGGGCATTTATATAGTATCCCAAGAGTGGGGAAATATAATAACTAAGAGGCGGATTTTGATGACAGATGTAGTAATGTAAAGCTCAAAAAGGCAAGGATGCCCATTTCTAATAATTAAAATACTTTTGTATTCGTAGGAGCGGATCCAGAGACGAATTTTAAGAGGGGGGATTATTCAAAATGATTTTCGGGATTTTTTTAGACAATAAAAGTAACTACGATTATTCTAGTTCGAACGAAATACGTAAAGGAACCTCCTTCCGTCAACTCAATTCGCAGATGATACGCTCAATTTGTGGATAGAAGCTGTTTGTGTAAAGGGCGAAGCAGTGGACGCCCCGCTTGGCCAGGAGCGAAAGTGAATCGGATCAGGGAAACTTATCAAAATTTCTCAAAATGAGAGAAGTAAATACAATGGTACAAGAAGTACAATGGGAATGCGCGTCTGTCGCACCCAGACGCAAAACGGGGCCGTTATGAATGATTTATGCCTTTATGACTCAAGCGCCCCTGAACAGATGCTCTATGCAACCCACCGCACCCTCAAGTATTACGCACGTCTTCGCTGCATATTCTGCCTCTGCGATTGTGAAATATCGGCCAGAATTTTTACTTGGACGTTATCTCGAAGAAGTATATCAAATTTCTCCATGTCATAGCGAATGAATGTTCAAACTTGAGGGAACAAGTTTTCACAAAATAATATTTTTTTTATATTATTATATATTCACAATATAATAATAATAATAACTTGACTTCCTTGTACACACCTGAACATAGAACAAACCTATACTCGTGAGAAACCTCTTTCATCTACTAAAATTTTTGCAGAGAGTAGCGTGATTAACAATCACGTAACCAGTAGCGTGTGAAATGTAATACATTGCAATAGCGAAGCATTGCCGGGTCCACTAGTGGTATATAAATGGATACTCGTAAGTTCAAAGCAAAAGTCTTACCTCAGATAAAGAAAGGAAAAACACATAGTTAAAAAATAACAAGAAGAAAATATATTCAAATAAAAATAGAAAGTAAGAGACTCGAAACGAGCCATTTCTAAGATCAACCACCAATCAGAAAGGCGAATGAAAATAAAAGCTTGACAGTGAGCAGGGACCAAAAGGAGCTAGGAAGGACGAAGTAAAATAATTGTTTTTAAATAATGATTGATTTTATTTTCTTTCATACTAGAGGATACTGCAGCAGATAAAAATATATTTTTTTACGTTTTCCTCAAATCTTTGGAGACATTTCTCTCGCAATTTAGATAACGGTTTCAGTTACAGAAGTTCCCTCTTTGATATACAATAATTATGATTTTTTTCGTTTTAAACAGGACAATGAAAATGTATATTGTGCCTGATTAGATGGTTGTTTCCACATCATTCAAATAACGTAATCTAATAAATTGTCAGTAATCGACACTATCAGAAAATTTCACTCATTGATTTCTTGACTCATTGATTTCTTGACATTTGTTATGCAATAGAGTTGTAATGTATGGTTACTTTCCGTGAAACTTTCTCAATGTTTGTTGTTTATTATAAACTTGCATATATGCATATATACTTGCATTAAGCAAGTATTTTCTTTTATCTCAATTTATTGTTTGTTATTCAGACTCAAATGTAATAATAATAATAATAATAATAGTAATAATAATTTCATGTGATAAATAAAATGCATCCCTCCTTTCTTTGTTATCTTCTCAGTTATTAGTTTATCATGTTTTTTAAGAAAAGAAAAATATTTCTTCTAGCTTTATTTGCATTTATTTTTTTAAATATTTTCTTGTAACTATCAACATTGGCTTCGTGGAATTTCAACTTTTGGGTGTAATGTTTGCTGGTAAACACTAATATGTTGGTGGGGTGAGAATTGAGTCTGTAGATGATATTTTATGTTTATTGCTACAGCTATTTTTTGAATAACGAAACAGTAAGCGACATCAAATTCAAATCCGATTCCAGAATGTTGAAATTCAAACTCCTAATACGCAAAGATATAAGTAAATACTATCACAAGTATCAACGTAGACACAGGTATGGCCGACTCGTGTGTAGACACTTACAAAGAGGAAATTTACAAGTCTGGGCAAACCAGCAACAGATGAGCTCACCAGCCACCATTCAAGATAAGAACGATAGTCTTGAAGAACGTATCTTCAGTAAAGAAAGCAGTGATAACCCTCCTGACAACCTGAGAAAATTCAAATCAAATCAAGATACTTTGGAATTACTAAAACAACGTGAAAAATGCGACCTCTTATGCATTTACCAGAGTACTAAGAACTTGGTAAGAATATAAAAAGAGAAATTCGCAAAGATCGCCGAGACACCAAACAAGATCACAGCGACAACACACAGAATATTGGAAAATAATAAATCAGTCAGGCTAATAAAGAAAAACCTCAATAGAAAAACATTGGATGCTGTCAGTCAAGAAGAACACAAACATGAAAATAACATCAAGTAGTATTAACATGGTAGCTAAAGAATACTACAAAAATTTATACAAAACGAATTGTTAAATGAAAAAACCAACCAACACCAAAATACCAACAGTAAAACCAAAATACCTGATAATCAAGATGAGCAATTTCTACATATAGTTACTGATCAGTTGTATTGGAACTCAAACCATGACGAACTACCGGGAAAGATTGCAACCTGAACGGACACATTAAGGAAGTCCTCGACGAATTGCATCAAGAAATCTTTAAAATATTTAATAATCTTCCAACTTCAGAATAACTTCCTAAACAATGGTATGTAAGTACCATTATTCATTCACAAAAAAGGAAGCAAAGACGATCTCGTCAATTTCAGACCGATATGTCTAATATCAAATCTTAACAAGGTATTCTCAAAAATCTTAACAAAGAGATTGTTGGAAATTCTTGGTGACTAACAACCAACTGATCAGGCAAGCTTTCGAGTTGGCTTTAGTACTATAGATAATTTACAAGCAGCTAAGCAGGTAATCGAAAAAACGAATGAATTTAACCTTGTATGCTGCTTTTGTTGACTTCACTAAAGCTTTTGACGCTGACGGTCAAGAACGCATATTTGCGCTCTTAAAATGCAATTTATACCTAGTAAATACATAAGAATCTCAACCAACCTATACCCGCATTTCATACAGCTTTCATTAATCCTAAACTCTTGTCAATTTAAAAGCTTTGGTGGTATATAGTATGGAGATATTCAGTAATTTTGTGTATGCCCTTGACCGCGCGAGATAGCTCAAGGCATCAGCTCATGTCACTGCAGTCTCTCTGATCGGGTGGTTCTAGGTTCGAGTCCGGACGGTGACAGGATTTTCGACGCTAGCTTGTCAGCTGGATCGAACACAGTCTCTGGAGCCTGTGTTCGCCTCCAGACACCTCGCAGTCTGGAGGAGAATTCTAGTGGCCGGCTGATCTGGTCTGTAGTTTCCCGTAATTTATCCGATTAACACTAGACGAATGCCGTTGCAGTACCCTAAGAAACAGGTCACCGTGCCGCGTGCGATCTTTCCTACCTCTCCACTTACCTTGTCCTATCCTCTCCACTTACACACACACACACACACACACACACACACACTTACATGCCGGGAGCTTAGAGCGTGTCCCCGCTAGGGCCTTGCCCTGCTGATGGGAGATACCTGGTTGGGGAAAACGTTGCTAGTCGACGGCCTCCCAAGCACAAAAGCTCGCCTCACCTCCCTAGCACAAAATACGCACTAATGGTCTTAGTAGGGGCTTAGTAGTTGACACCCGGAATCATTACACATCAATCAATCAATCATACATCTCTCTCCGCGACACGAGTACACCGTAGGTTGAGCGCGATAGTTGGGCTTCCTCCTATCAGGAAATCTTTAAAATATTCAATAATATCCTAACTTCAGAAAAAATGCTATTCTGAACCATTATCTGTACCATTATTCATTCACAAAAAAGGAAACATCGGGCGTACTGGCGGGTACGTACGGGCGGGCTATCATATTTCGGATTGACAGACCTAGACAGACGTTCACGAGACAAAGAGATCTGCCCTCTGAGAAAAAAACAAGTGTGAGAAGTAGAGTAGAACGAAAGAAGTCAGAAATGTAAAAAAAGAGAAGTAGCGAAAGTAAATAACTCTCTAGCCTTCGAAACCTAATAGCATCGAAGTCGAAACCACAAGGGGTGTAGAGTGATCACTGTAGGATAGTTTAAGGAAGTGGGCACAAGTTAGTGAAAGTAACGCCACACTAGGGACGCTTCTTCTTTATCCGAACTTGAGACCGGCAGTGTCTGCTGCCGTCTCTGCGCCACCCAAGACATTCGAATGTCTGTGACAGCACAGCACAAAAAAATGCAACAGCTAAGGGCCGAGTTGAAACAACTTTGAGACAACTCAAAGTACCAAAAACCGGATTTTTTAACACTTCTCTACCGCCTATTTGCAATGGAATGGTAGGCATCAGGTAGCTCGCGAGTAAAGCGTTGCTGACCAATGATGTAAGAAAGGACATTTGTCAAAGGATGTTTTAAAATTAATTAACTCCCACGTTTGAGGGATATAATAATGATATTATTGAGGGATATACTTAATTTAAGTAGCAATTATATGGTTCATTAATCCCTGGCGGATAATCCTCAGGAAAAATCGGTTAAAAGAATAAACAACGAGATTCTTCTACCTGCTAAGACGCCGTTGGAGTCCACGTTGGAGGAATTACACGTTAACTTTAATAAATGACTTTTATTACATGGTCACTTTTCACATGCCTACGGGATGTACAACCAGGTGTCTTTAGCTGAGATTCAGCATTGCCGCTGTCTCTGCAGCGATTCTGACCTAGCGAGGTCCTAGGGCTTGAGTCCCAAAGGTGACAGGTTTTTCGACAGGTCGAATTCAGCAATTGTCTGGAGGAGAATTTTCTAGCGGCCGGCCTCTCCCATCGTTAGTTTTCCGTTGTTTCTCCGATTAATACCTGACGAATGCCGCAGCAGTTCCATATCAAACGGACCACGAACTGTGCTTTCTTTCCACGTTCTTTTCCTATCATCTTCCTTTACACACACACACACAAACACACACACACACACACACACACACATACACAATTACATGCACTACACTCCCTCGCATGCTGGGAGACCATTCGGAAGGCCAGAGCTTGTCCCGGCTGGGGCAGAGCCCCGCTGAAAGGAGGTACCCAGAGGAAATAACCAATTTACACGGATCTAATCATTAAGAGAGAAAAAATCACCGCCACCTCCCGTAATAAAACATTCACTAATGACCATAGCAGTTGACGTAAACGGAAACATCAATCAATGAGAATGTAAAAGCATGTTTTTCCACTTATCAAGCACAGAACTTCATCAAGACGTATTTACAGTTCCGTAACAACGTTTACAATATCCTATATCAATTTTCACAATGTTTAACACATACATCTAGTGTCAGCGACATTAGTAAAACACAAAGTCCTTAATTGCAGTATCGTCACTAAAATACACATCCTCGCCGACAGTTGGCCAAGTCGTACTAATCGTCTACCGTCTCGTGTCGTACCGGAACTAACTCCAACCGTATGTGAGCGATATTCCATTTTTGTCACAAGTACGAGTGGATTTTAGTGAAATTTCATTTTTTTAGTTTCAGTTTAGAACAATACTGTTTAGTCTAGAAATTCCTGTTGTGACGAAAATGAGCTATTACGTTATGTAATGACTAAACGAAATGACCCATTTTGTATTGTCGTTTTCTTTCATTATTTGTCATTTTTATTGATTTCGACTAATAAGTCATTTTTTAACTTTTTACGACATTATTACAGCATTTTCCGCTGATATCATCGGTTTTAATATCATTTTAATGATACTTGTTTCAAACAATATTTACGAAGTGCAACAAATGTTCACCACAGAAGTTCTAAGTAGCCCTTTCTATTTCTTCGCTAATATATTGTAGTGTTAGCCCTTGTGAGTACTATGTAATCATATATCCCTGTGACGTTCCTCGGCGCCATTGTCAGGTAGGCCGATTTCTCAATAAATGAAACCATAGATTTTCTTTTAAAGAACAGTCCAAACGAGAAGTTAGGAGGCTGAGTTCCCTGGAATAAAAGGAAGAAGCCTCCATTACAGCAGCAACATACCCAACAGCTTGAGTTGTTCATCTAAAGTGGTTTTGATCATATTTTTTACGTCATTTTTCTTTGTTTTTCGGGCATTTTTAAAGCATTTTAAGAGCATTGTATTGATAATTTTTGGCAATATTTTAGGTCATCAAAATCTGCCTCCATAGTCTTAAGTAATATCACAATATCATCGGCAGGTGCCGATTTCACTTTTCGCCGGATATCAGTACAACTTCATCGCTCGGCCACTACTTGGCTGCTCCTTCCAGTTTTGACATGAAAATAAAATAATGCAATTTCTGTATTTATAAAATAATTTTGGCACTATCTAAATGCTAAAATAATAAAATTGTATTTATTTTAGTAATTTCAGTCATTCGCTCAGGAAATATCTCAATTTATATTTATAGTAATAAAAAATAAATTTATTCTCCATGTTTCTGTGGGTCAATTACAATATTGTGTTGCAGACTGTTGCGCCCCCTCACACGGAGTAAACAAACCACCACACTGGTGCCACAGGTAGGTCTGCGTTGCTTGGCCTAAATAGTATACATGCTACATACATAGTTTTAGTAAAACATTCTGTTATTCGTTTTATCCAAGAAATTATTTACCAACGTTCTAGATTCTAGATTCTAGATTCTAGATTATTCTAGATTTTCTATTGATCACACAATCGACAAAAATCGCAATTGCACGTGGTAATGTCAAGTAAGTTTTGAGAGTTATTTATTTCTTTAAAAAAACAGCATGCTTTACGATGGCATGCCCTGATACGGTGATGCGAACCAAGTGTTCTATTTTCCATGAGAAGGAAATTTAATTTAATTGAAAAGAGGAACGACCAAATGCCAAGTTTTAAATACTAAGAACTGGGTTAGAAAAGCAACAAATGTGTCTATTCCGACCACATCTGAAGATCTCCCTCCCAGTATATACGTACATAGTCTAAGACTTACAAGGAATAATAGTTTCTCCTATGTTACTGGTCTCCTTTGTTAGTCATCAATAACAAAGTCAGAAGGTCAACTATAAGCCAAAATGAATAATTCAAAATTCTCATGTGAACATTTTTTAAATAAAAGTTCAAGATAAAAGTTTGGTAATTATGACTGAAGAATGCAACCTGCACAACAGAGTTTAGTAACGCGGTGGCATCGTAACTTTCCTGGCTCGAGGCGTCGCAGGCACGTTTCCCTCTTTTGACGCAAATGTTCGCTGATATGTTGTGGCATGGTGGATGAGGCACTCCAAACCCCCATGATCACCACTCAACCCACTTCCTTACAGTTCCTTACTATCCTGCCCACAATCAGTGTACATATGAGGTACCTTTGCACCAATAGTAAAACGGGTCAACTAGCACAACAAGCTTTCGGGCTACTGCCGGAGTTCCATCTCAAAAAGAGACTTTAACAATGTGGAAATCCGTCGGGATGGTATGTCTTGCAAGAAAACACGATAAAGAAGGGAAAATACAAGATGGAGAAATGTTAAAGACAGAGGGAGAGAGTGGGGGGTTACAGCAGCCTAATAAACATATAAAAACCAGTGGGGCTACAAAGCACATACTTTCTTGCATTATTTTAAATTTGCAATTTTCGAAAATTGACGCGCGCCATTCTTATCATTGCCCCTTTATCTATCCTTGAAAAAGTTTAAAGAAAACATTGGAATTCTTTTTGATCATTTTTTTAGAACTTTCATAAATTTCAGACACAAAATACACGAAATCTAAATTATTTTTTTCAAGCAAATTGTGCATGACTTTTTTAAAGAGCTGATTTTTTTCCCAATGGAGTCTGTCTAAAGCAAAATCTTTATCTTCAGTGTTGTAGTTTTGAAATATTAACTTCTTGCAATTTTCGACAATACGAAAGGTTCGCTGAAATGGAACTAGCACAATATCCGTCCCTTAGTAGAAAATGTAGAGAAAAAATATGAAACGGTTTTCCAGAAAAAAAATGTTAAAAAATAAAATTGCCTACATGTTGTGTAAAATTGAACGAAATTTACTCATATTTACGAACAGTTGAATATGACCTTATTTCAAGATCTGTCTTTAAAGATCAGATTTAATGAAAGAAAAAAATTATCTTCAATATTATACATATGACAAATAGCACTTATGCAATTTAAAAATAAATCTGGGATTTCAACGCACATGATACCTGTGCCATTCTCTTAAGCGTCGTGAAAAACATTTGGGCCATTTTTGAGAAAATGTTGATATTTTTTACACTACATGTGAAGTACCCTCAAAATCAAAATATCCGTTTGAAACTCTCAAAGCCTCTAGTTCGTTCAGAACAATCGGGGAATATCAATTTTTGAGAAAATTGGCTGAAAGGTATAGGCGCTAGCTTTGACCACGGACGACGGACAGACGATTTGTCGTCAATTGTTTTGCCGTCGCCGATTTTTCGGTATCAAGAACCCACAAAACATGAATTCTGGCTACACCCGTGTTAGAGAACTAGAGATTTACTTCATATAGCAATCGGGTTTATCCACTTTTTCATTACCAGAGCCCGGCAATGAGAGTTTCTCTGCCGAAAATTTGCCGTTTTCCGGCACAAGATTACATAAATTGTACTTCTTTCGTTGTAAGTGCGGGAAAGTAAAAATTAACGAAACACGAAAGTCCTCTAGAAATTTTTTGAAGGTCAAGGAAACGTGCACAGATAATACTTTTCCCACACAGGGCATATACATTTTTTGCGTTTTTGTTAAATAAAATAAATACTCATTCCAACATTTCATTTCTCCAATATTTCACGCCAAAGACTCACTTTCTGTGATATTTACGTAAATAAAATCAGGGAACGTGATTTTCCGTCAGAAATCGGCACTTCTTCCTGCATCATTACGTAACGTTCCCTAAACTAGTTCCCTAAACGTAAAAAAAAAATCCGCAAAGTAATGGACTTTGTATTGACGAGTGTTTCATTTCGGTTGCAGAGGACCGCCGGACAATGCCTTCTACCTGGTCGCGCAGATAGCGCTGGGCGCAGCTCTCGTGGTGGCCATCACTGCGCTCGTCAGCATCGTCCTGCGCACCTGCAACGGGTAAAGCTGGCTTTACACTTGCAAGAAAATGGCGAGCAATATTATTTCGCAAGAAAAGTTGCCAATGTAAACATCCACGGCAATAAATATTTTGCTGATTGCTGAATATTTCTTGCTAGATATTTCGGTCGTAATGTAAACCCGTGTGTTTCCACCTCGGAAAGATATTGCCGGCTGTAGCTGGGACTAGAATTGGAATGAGGTATGAGCAATATATTGGCTGGAAGAAGTCAATGTGACGACTGTCATATGCGCAGGGTAATGTACGGTAGTACATTAGACGTTATTTCCATTTGAATATTGCATTTTTTTTGTAAAATGGGTGGTATGAAAAAAGTTTATAGACAATGAAAAGGAGTAATAAATAATACCTTGGTTAATTATCAAAGGTTCAAATTTTGGTTCAGTTATAGATGCCCCTGATTATTTAATTTTGTACGTTAAAAATTATTAAGATATTAATCTAATCTAGAATCATTTTAGATAACTCTTTAAACACTCTGTAGTAGGAAAATGATGTTTTAAACCTTTTACCCAATTAGTATAATGCACGTTTTTTATTAAAAGACCAATTACTTTGCTTCTACGGGAACTCGAATTCCACCGAAATCATTTTTGTTTTAAGAAATATTCCGACTATTCCACCTAAATTCGCAACAAGCCCCCTTTTCCTTTCTTCTTTAAAACTCAGTCACATGTCTCTCACAAATGCGTCGGCGTTACTTCATCACACCAGCACAATAAGTGCGACCGAACTCGCATTTTTTGCCTTCCACTAGTTTTTTCCGGAAGTGAGTGAGGTATAACCTCAATTAATTTCATGCGCCATTTCTCCTCGCGCCGTCCCCAAGCACGGCAAAAATGGTCTAATGTAAGCGATCGCAATATCTTGCCGGAAAGATCTGTTCAGATCTTTCTGACAATATATTGCCCTACTTGCTGCTTCTGTGTATAGATGAGGCCTCGACGGATCCTCTCTTCCCTCTCACTTGATCAATGATGCGGCGTCAGGGACCCCTTGCGCCTCGTGTATTTACGGCATTGTTTCTTTTATTCCTCACGAAATACAGTTGACTCTGGATATAATAAACTCTCGGTATTAGCGAACTTAGATCACTGGTCCCGTTTCACTCACACTACGAATAAGCACAAGAAGATTCGGCTAAAGAGAAGTCTGAACCTCGGCTATAAAGAACTTAGGAAATACAACGTCCTGGAAATTAATTCCCACCTGGAAAAAATACTGGGGTCGTTCCCACGGTAATGCCTCCCATTTTTTACGTTGGCATTTGACCTCAAAAACGAATGTGAGTGATGTCATAGTGGAATTTGATCCTTGTCGTTTATGTTTGTTTAATTCCGTTCCTATTGGTTTGATAGAAACACAGCGAGAGTATTCTAAAATGGCGTCTAGCTGGAACGCGCGTCAGAAGCAGAGATGTGTGACTGAATTTCTCACTTCGGGAATGAAATTGCACGTATTGACATCCACAGACGCTTGCTAAACTTTTACGGGAACTTACGGACGATGTCACTACAGTGTGGCGACGGTGGGTAGTGCGTTTCAGCGGTGGTGACAGAGACGTGAAAGACAAACCACCCTGCGGTCATCCACGCACAGTCGCCACACCAAGCAAAGAAGAAGCACCTCGATCAGCTCATCCGTGTGAATAGGCTCATGGAGGGGGGTCTAGGTACGTTCCTGGGGAACTGTCCACGGCGCTGAACATTGGATGTAATGCATTAGAGGTAAGGCTGGGTAAATTGAGTTATCGAAAATTGTGCGCAATGTGGGTCCCGCGATCACTCACACAGGAACACAAACATCATCAAATGGAACTTTGTGACGAGCTTTTGACCCAATACGAAGCTAAAGGTGGCGGTTTCCCGGATCGAATAATCACTGATGACGAAACATGATGTGACCATTATGACACAGAAGTTAAACGACAATCCATGGAATGGCGCCATAAGTATTCCCAGTGCGGCTCTCCTCGGCTGGTGCAGATTTTTACCAGCGTAGCATGCAGACTTTTGTTCATCGGTAGATACAATGCTTGGAAAAAAGGGTGACTATATTTAAAAATAGTATTGTGTTAAAAAACCCTATTTTAGCACATTATATTAATTTTTTATTTACTATAAGTGTAATACAAATAAATGGAAGGTATTACTTTCGGAACGACCTTCGTATATCTCCAACATTAGGCAGTTTGAAATTCCAACACTGGGCAGTTTGGATAAAATATCTCCGACCCTAGGTCAAAATCTAAAAAGACTCCCCCGATTTGGAGGTAGAGGACCAGGAATGGGAACGTTACTGGTGACCTTGTGCCATTCAGTTTCACTGACGAAACTATGGCTGTGTTATGCGTGAGCTACAACTGGCTGCGGCGACGCGAGACTTCTTGCTTCAGTGTCAACGTTGATGTTACTCGAGATTTCGCAGGACAACGCGCGTGGTGTTGTACGTATTCGGCAGGAAGCGCGCTACTGCCACCGCCACAGATAGGCGCCACCTGCCGCGCCGTACGAAAAAGCGACCATTTTCATTAGCAGCTAGCGCTATCCCACTACCGAAAGGATCTCGCGTGTTAGTAGGCGAGTAAAAGAGACCTTCGGAAAGTGGAACGACGCCATGTAACATTTACAGTGAGGAAATAGTGTTTTATAAAAAAAAATTTTTCACATCATCTTAGTTTTTCAGTGCCGTAATAGAATGGGAAAAAATGTAAGTATTTTCATTGTAAACTAGTGCCGTACTTGAAGAAATTTTTGAACGATAACACGCAATTTTGATCTCGTTTCAACAGAAAACTTTTGAATTTTCGTGAAACTTCGTAAGAAATAATTTTAAATCCCTATACTCACAGATGTAATAAATTATAAAAACCGTTGTGTGTAAATATTAATGATGTGAGAGGTATTTTAAACAATTAAAAATGTGTATTCTTTGACAAATCAAAAGGTTACATAAAATTGGCTTGCATATTATGTTATTTTATGGAATTATCTATATACGTACAAAACGTTTAAAGAAAAATTTGGAGTTTTTTTTAGAAAAAATTGTTTTTCATGTTGTTCATATTTGACTTGTTGCAAAATGTTGCGCAAAAACAACTCACATTTTCTAAAAATGTACTTGACATAAATGAAGTATCGCATTCTGAGGAATAAAATCAATTTAATGAAAAAATGTCTAGCTTCAATAATGTTCGAGGGATCCAAAAAAATTTGAAACTTGTTCAAAATTTAGAATTAACCGACAAAATCTTATCTCTACCAACTTTCTACATGTTTATTACTCTATTCTAACACTAAATTTAAAGAAAAAAAATGGAGAAATCTTTGAGAAAATTTTGAAAAAGGAACCTCATGTGAAGAACCCTCAAAATTAAAAGATTCCTTTTTAAAATCCTACGAACTGATTAGACGCTAATGTTTTTCACAGATGGACGGGAGGGGAGACGGACAGACAGACGATCAGAGGAAAGACAGACAAACGGGCGTTTTAAAAAAAAACAACTTTTTTTCGGTATACGGGGATTCCAGAACACATGTTGTCTTTGAAACCTCTATATCGATTTTCCTCAGCATTACATTACTCCATATATACCTAAGTATTACGTATTAATCCTATAGATGCCTTCAAAAAAATATTTTATTCGCTATTGACAAGAGATAAACTGTCTCAACATGCAAAATGAATATTTCTCCCAATGGTATCTTCTCAAGAAAGTTACATAATTCTAGGATAACATGTTCTTACACCGAAAACAATCAATGAGACTTCCTCATCATTCTATGTCACTTGTTTCTGAAACACGTGCAATGTTTTTTGGGAAAATATTTTTCTGAACTTTCATTGCCTTCGAATCCATTATTACTTTCATTTCTTTTTCTTGTTCCACTCATTCGTATTTCGCATCTCAGCTCGTAATGTCCATTTGTGCATCAACAGGAGACGCAGCGAAGAACGCCCACAGTTCCGTCCTGCCAGTGCCTCCGCTACCAGCCTGGACGTATATGTTCGAGACAGGCTGCACGATTGCCCGCCAAGTTACGATGAAATCTCCTGGGAGAAACCTCCTAGCTACGCCAATCTTCCGGTAATCGAGGTATGTCACAAAACCTATTAGTACTTCAGATTAAAGAATATGAACTTAGAGTATGATATAAGATTAAAATAGAGTAATTATAGCTATTTTGAAACTAAAGTATTCAAAAGACATATTCCATAGTCTCGCTATTTAAGGAAGAAATAATGGAAATCAATAATGGAAACAATACCTCATCTTTCTCACAATTCACTAATTAATAACATACCAAGAGTCCTTCATGGCCGTTTTGCTCTCTTCATTAGATATACAGAAAACTGCTATTATTTAAAATTGAAGTCTACGTCTCAATGTTCTAAGTACCATAAATTTGTATACAGAATTGGGGTGGCGTTATTAATCAAATGGTATTTTCTGAACATTTAAGGTATATTTAAAAATGATTAAATATTAGTTTTGTACTTCTTAAACTAAGTCATTTGCGTATTATAATTTCTCGCAAACCTATATACCTACTAAATCATCTCCTACACGACTTTTCAATCAAAACTTAGACAACAATAAACTACGAAACTGCATAATAGCTATTGTAAGATAGTAAAACAGTTTTCAAATCAAACCACGATTTATAATATCAAATTTTGTGTATATAATAACATCGTATAATCATCCATCATTGATTAAATAAGTTTGAAATTCTCACGGCCCCGAGTTCGGCCACATCGAACTGAGAATATCCGCTGAGGACAAAATTCTGTTTACGGTAGAGACGTAAGAGTCATTCACAGTTGCACCCACTTTGCCAGTCTCACCTGCCCGCTCAGCCCTCATTCACAATGCAAACTTTAACGTAACGTAATGTCGTAAACTTAAC